AAATGGGCCGATAATTGAACGGATAGATCATATTCAGTGACGTGAAAATTTACTTGATTTTTTGGCACTTGATTTTATGTTATTTTTTTTATTGGGAATTTAACTGGTGGAATATTTTACGTTGAAATCTTTTCTTCCTTGCCCCATTTATTCTGCTTTCTCATTGTGTCACAAAGTCTCTTTTTACAACCCATATGGGATTCTAATTATAGGGAACAATTGACGAAGATGTCTATGTTGAAGGAGCGTATTCAATTGGGGGAGAGTGAAACATCATCTTACAGCCATCGTACTCCACTCACCCCAGTCAACGTGGAGGCACCTCGACAACCGGTAGTTACCCCCGTCGATTTGGCGAAGGAGGCGGAGGAGGACGCTGAACGTGGTGAAAACTTTCCGGACACTTGTGGTGACAGCAGTCAGATTGACGATGCAGACATGTTTTCACCGGCTGCTTTGGAGTCGACCCATCAAACGTCCACTTCCTTTATGCCTTCCGAGCCATCGATTGTACGGGAGGGGCTGAATGCAGCATACCACCCACTACGTGTGGTATGTCCATGGAGGGGATAGCGCATAGGGAATGACTGAACGTTTGACAGTTGACGCCACCGTTTTTTTGCAGATAAGACCACATTCACAAAGCGTGAGGAACCATCGTAATAAGGGTTTTGATGGGTCTCTTGCGAAAGGAATCATTTACGGTAAAGGAGTTGGAGCCATGGCAAGAGACGGCGGTCAGTGGATTGATTTTAACTATTTCTTTACTTATATTTGTTTTTTGGAGGCTTCCATATTAGCTTCTTTACTGTCATTTACCCGTTCATTTATTTCCTCAAAACAACGTTTAATGTGACCCGTGAGAATAGGTAGAAAAGTGCATTAATCTCTCAAAATCTACAAACAGCAAAGCGGTGCAAAAATGCTGAGGAGAATAGAAGCCCAATGCAGTTTAAAAGTAGATTATATTTTAAAGTCCTCGTGAATGGATAGGTATTCAAAGTGAAGGGGACTGAGACAGGTTCTCGAAGCATTCCATTCCTTAGGGCTAACCATCTTTTCTGGTCCTCGATGTCGCTAGAGAAAAAATAGACGATATGCTTAAAATTACTGAAATTTTGACATCTTAAGCAGGTTTACCATCCATTATTGTACATCGTTAAAGCTACAGGACTAAGAACCTGTCTTAGAGTTACCATCCGGAGGGTGAACTTTTCTGGTGGTCAAAGCCCCGCAAAATCAGCCGCCGCACGTTTGTTTTGTTCATAAAATGCAGTTAAATTAGCTGCAAAAGGTGATACCTACTTGATGCCCAGCAATTTGCCGTGATTTGAATGGGCTTACTTCTACGTTGTTTAGACTGGGAAAAACCAGGATCACGGAAGCACCCATCGGAGGAGGAGATAATTGCCTTTAGCCAGGAGTTAATTGAATCCTCACAAAATAAGGTCTCACCGTGGTTCGATTTCGTGAAGGAGCCTTCTGGTGGGTTCTTCTACCTGACGTCTTTACACTCTGGATTTTTTTGCTCTCTGTTTCATTTTGACGACTCGGGTGGCTTGAGTACTTGTGACTTGGGGTTTTATTTGCCTTTCCTCACTGTCTCTATCCCCTTTTGATCACTTCACTCGTTTTTTTGCCCTTTATTGTGAAAATCCAACTTCGCGTAATGCTTTAAAGGGCTTTGATGTGATAATCTGTGTACTTTAATGATTCATCGCTTTTTGGATGCTCTTCTATGTCAAGCCAATACTTTCGCTCTCATGGTCTCCGGGGCAAATCGACCACCACATCCCAGATGTTGTAGTGTTCTAATACGACGCTGAAGCTTTCAGTGTAGTATCGACCATTTCAACACTCCAAAGTGCAATTATCCTCAATTGAAGGGTATCCTGCATTTATTGTAATGGCTTCAACTCACCCAGTGTGTTGGCGACGCAGGTTGGTGTGGTCAGTTAGCATTAGTGATGGAGGGAGTGTCATATATTTTATATTGCCGGGCTCGGATAGAAAAATTAGGCGGTTGTACTTGCGTGACGCTGACAGTTAATGTACTAAATTATCTCGCACTGCTCTTTGTGGGTGGATTTCAAAACCGGCTGGTAAATTGTCTTGTCAACACTCTCCCTTTTTGTTGGCACTGATAGTTCAATAAAGCAAATCTTATGCCAGTTTGAATTGAAAACTTGTGCCAAAAATCGTGGACATTCCGGACTGATATGCGCATTTTCTTTATTTTTGTTTCCGTGACCTGCAGCGCCCCTTCGATCCACTTCGATATCCGCCTATCTGCAAGCAGTCGGTCTGGACTTCGGTCAGAAGGTAGTGCAACGGAAGCCCCCTTGCTCTATTCCCTTCTTCGCTGCCCTCGATCGAGTAATCAACACTCCTCTTCTGACACGGTAGGCATTGCTCACTGAGTTTTTAATTTTGCTTTTCTTATTTCTCTTCTTTCGCCTCAGAACTAACTGCTTTCTGCTGATCGGCACTATATTATCTTTGTTAGTCGAAGCAAAAGTCTTCAATAACCAATTTTGCTTCGCCTTGTATTGCAGCATCAAAGTTGTGGATAGGTGTCTGTTAGATCACTTTGTGATGGAACTGAAGCTGCTTGACCATCTTCGTTTCGTGCAGAACATCTTCTGCCATGCGCATCCTGTCATCACCCCTCGCATTCTGGACGCCCTCTTCTCTGAGGTTTGCTTTGGCGATTCTTTTTTTTTCGTCTTTTTACACTCAATCGCGTTAGATGCTTGTCTCCTTCCCATCTGGCGGGTTAAGGCAATGGGTCACCTTAAACTTGTTTTGCCCCCTCTTCCCCCAAAAGATCTCCCATATTTTGAAACCTCTCCGAAGTGGTTTGAAACCCAGGTAAGATATAATGCTGTTGACTGCAAGATTGGTGGCGCAACCAAATTTGCATGTTTTAAGCTTTTTTAGTGTAAGTATCTCAATTCCAGTATAATATGGGCCATGAAAATGCAGTCGTGAGTATCGGGCAGAGAAATTGTTAGGTTATTTTTCTCCAACAAATGACTTGAGAGAAACTTGGACACTTTCTGTTCTTAAAATGGACGTTAGGTAGAACGAGTTTTTTTTCTGTGCCTGATTTTTTTTCTCATCCACAGCTTTCGAGTCCGGAAGAGGGTCGAAGTATCTTCAACGATACGAGAAAATTTCAGGATTTACTACCCGTCGACCTCCTCAACATAAAAGTCCCGAGCCACGGGATGCAAATTAACACCTTTTCACCATTTGACATCAGCTTCCAACGTGTTCTTTTCTACTTCAAGCAGCTTCAGACCGTCCAATCGGCCGATAGTGGTGGCTACGGTAGGATTACTGCTTTTCTTTCTGAGGCCTAGAGTTCCTACTCACTACTTCACGTCAACTTTTTTCCCACCTCCAGTGGGCAGAGTATTTAGCAACCTCGCCTTGGTCTACAACGCACCCTGGCCGGTGAATATTTGTCTGCATGATCGGGTGTTAGCCAAGTACAACACTGTCTTCTGTATTCTGGCTCGTGTAAAATACGCCCTTTGGGCGCTAGAATCTGTCTTTCATTTCCTCCGGGATCATCGTAAGTCAGGATTATTTGTTAGAGCTCACCACTCAGGCACCGTTCAGTGTGGCTATGTATGTGGCTTCAATAGGTGTTGAATAGGGAAGTGGGCTATGCTCCCCTTTTTGTTGCGTGACTGAAGTCGCCTTAACAATTAGCGTGCGGTAAATTTAGTATTTGGAAATCCTCCCGAATGGTCATGCTCACTGATTCCACAAAAAACATTTGTCTGTCATGCAATCTTGTCGCACCATGGGTCGGTTATTCGTCGATCATAAGTGACTACTGTGCTGTAAGTCGGGAGCGGAAACACCACTGTCAGGATTGTTACTGGTGTACGGGCACGATCAAGCAGGTTTTGAAATGTGTGCCTGATTACCTTAAATGTCTCACCCCGACTGAGCGCCAAATTACGGTGCCGAACTGTCCTTGAGATCTTCTGCACTAGTAGATATCCACTAGTTGCACCCTGTCCCCCTCCTCATCACCAGAGGTTGTTACATGCACGCCCTTACTACCACTGATGTATCTGCCATCTTGAACGGTCCGTAGACTTGACTTTTCCAAAAACGGTAAGTGCATCGGCTATCGGAAGTGATAAAAGGATACACATGCGATGCAGTCGTAGGATTTCTACCCAAAATACTACGTGCCATGTGATTAGTATGGGACAAATGGGAAGTTTGCGCTCGACTTTAACAGTGGTTGTATTAACTTCGATCCATCCCTTTGCTCCTCTTTCCCATCGGCAAGGATGTGACATCCCGGCATTAGCGGGTGTTCACTTCCAGGCCTCTCTATGGCGTCATGAGATGGATCGGGTGGTGCGCGACCTTGATGCCTACCTCTGCCTGCATGCAGTCCAATTCAGTTGGAGGGTTTTCATCAAACGGATTGGGGCTTTTGAACTCCCTTCGCTTCTGGACGAACACTCACAGCCTCCGGAAGAGCTTACTACTGTGAGGAGCCTTGATGAATTGTGCCAATGCCATGAGGAGTGCGTGGATGCTATCATCCATAGGTTTGTCATTTTCACATCTTTCTGGTCCATCTTTCCCAATGCCCTCTTAAGCATGCGACAGGTGGCCACCCGTCTTACTGCCTTTTTGTTTGAGCTATGCTTGATACGATTTTTTTTCGTCATAAGACCCCCTAATCGGCTCTTACTTACAAACTTATTACAAAACAAATCATATAGCTTGGTAGATTTTTGTGGTGGCATATTAAAATGATATTTTCAGACGAAAGACTGGCAGATAATTAATTGCAAAAGGATGCACTTGCATACTTTTCCACGCTTTCGATTAATTCTCCTGTAAATTGGTACGCAAAGCACTGGAGTGCTGTGACATTTTCGCGTTTACTACAAGACCGAGGTTCAGTCATAACAGACGTTATAAGACCTATCAAAGATCACACTTGTTTTCAACCGTTTATTACTGGCACGTCAGTCTGCTCTTGATTACGAAGTTTACTTGATGGCTTCTAGTGAGCTTATTTTTTCCCCCATTTGTTAATTTTTTTTTGAAGGGACGAGGGGAGGGGTAAGTTGATGGGCTTTTTGGCGGATGCGTAATGAATTGTACCAGATAATATTCCTACCCTCTCCTCCAGTTGTCTCGTGGACAATGAGAAAGGTAGCCTGAGTATCCAAGACTCGATAGTGGGACTGCTCGAGTCCGTGCATCGTTTCCGGAGGACGCTGTTGCTGATCCAAGGTCAGGACTATGCTGCATCCAACCAATTACATACAACCGTTGACCAATTCCGGGCACATTCTCAATCCCTGCATAGGCTCCTGAAGGCTCGTGTTGTCGGTCACCAATTCGGGGCGAAAGAGCTTTCGTACCTTGCACACACCCTTGACTACCGCCACTTTTATACCGACTAATTAAACCTCGACCTTACCTCGCCTCCTTCTCCTTTATGACTATTTTGTATATTTGTACAGATACCAATTGTGTGGACGCGAAGTGTTACATTTATGGGTAATCTCTCTCTTCCTGCGAATCATTCTACTGTCCACCACTCCTTCAAGATATGCTTAGGAATGGCGTGGATTGCTTGTACAGCAGGCAGACACCTGGCGAAAGAAGGGAAGCATTGGGGCAAGAGGACTCATATTTCTTTAACTGTCTGTACCAAGAATTAGTGGGAATTTAGACCAGGTGTCCCTGTAGTAGCTAAGGTCGATGAGGGTCAAGTAAGAGGGATTGGTGTTAGACCAGATTAGTGATCTGGCTTTCGCTACCATATACAAGGCCGTCAAATCTCAGCGGTGACCTAGACTTCCGACGTAACGTCAGTGGAGGAGGTTGGTGTTGAAGCTTGCAAATGACAAAAGCAAATGAGATTTAGGTTTCTCTGAGTTGTGACGGCGCTACTTGACCTAATGATAAGGTGTTTTTTGGTTAGTGCTGCACTTTATTGGGAGGAGGTCTCACCACATTACGGAAGCTGTTGTTGTTAATCATTAGGGAAAATCAAATGCCTTACTGGTCCTGGTAGTCTTGTAAGTAAGAGCAATGATACATAGGGAGCGAAAGGTTACACAGGTGGCAAAGATTTGCATTCGTTATCTGCTTTTTGCCCAAGAGTCATGAGTCGTTTCTATTGCTACCTAAACTGCGTACCGATTGTAAGAAGGAGTGATTTGAAGCCCGAGTGCTTAAATTCCTTTTGACCTGAGAGAGAATGGAGATAATTATGACAACATCTGCTGGGGGCGAGTAATTGCAGCGCTCAGTACTAAGTTCGATAATTACATTTGCTTCGTTGTTAAGTTCGAGTGCGAAGGCCGAACGTGCGGGGTTCCGGCTATTATCACCGTTAGAAAAGAGCCTTGGATAACATGGTAACAAGTCATCATTTCTGCTTCCGCTATCGGATTACTGAGGCATTTCCCAACACAAAATAAACTAGCTTCTATCACTGGGCTGAGAAATGGTCACTATTTACCATGCAACACATAAATTGGTTTTATTAGGCGAATATGCCATGAGTCACTCAAACATGTAACGCGAGGTAAGCAGGGGATTGGGATTTCAATTCCTTGCATTTGCAGTACTTTAAGGCAGCCCAGCAAAATACTAGTTCGCTTTCTTTGAAACACGTTAGAAGATGGCGAAAAAGATCCCGCTAGTGCCCGAAACGCACGACTAGCACGTTCGCTTTCAGCGTCACGTCCTTGAAGCGTCCTGATTATTTTATTCCGAGCCCCGGCGTCACAAACATAGAATATAGTTTATTAGGTTACAGTGATTGACTGAATTAAATCGTGTCGTGACTTTGTTGACATTGAAGCATAGGACGCTAGAGAATTGAGGAGCACTGTACTTACTTACTGGACTGTGATGGCCGACAATCTTCTGAAATCCTTTTCATGCGTTAATGTCGACTCAATCCTTTCTAACTTCACCATGATTTGCCATACGCATTTCCATTCTATAGTTTTGGCCTCGTAGAGGCGAGAATTCCTTGGGCTTGTTGACATTTCCAAGAATAAATTGCCAAACAAGTGGTCAAATCTAAGCATGAAAAATAATTTGGAGAGGGTAATTTTCCTAGTCCTGGGGATGCACTTGGTGCAGGAAACGATGGCCTTTGATGTTACCAGCACCTTCCGGTAACATAAAATATTAATGCGGGCATTCCACCAGTAACAGAGGCCTAAGGCTACAAAACTTTGACTCAAGTGTATCAAATCGTCAGAACACAACTATTAAAACGTGTTCAGGCCTGTTAGAAAAAGAACGATCAAAGGTAACAACGAATGTGAGTTTGTAACTGGTAGAAGGTAGGTTGGGATTTTCTGTGTCACGAATCAACGAAAACCGATGCTTTTATAGGGCCCAAGTTGTTCCTGAAGTCCTTATTGGGCATAAGGGATATCGACAGACCCCTGACGTGAGGACCCGAATGGCAGGTGACTGAAAAAGTCCCATAGCCAGTGCGTATGGCCAGATCAAACATCGTCCTGTCAGGTATTCGAGCTAAAGCCGAATCGAAATGCGTAATTACGTTACCCTCCATTCAAATAGTAGCGAGGGCAAAGATTGAATCGTACATAAGTTTATTTTGCGAGGAATGGACTACACGACGGATATCGAAAAAGGAGTAGTGTTGCAGAGATAAGCAATGTAGCGTCGAGTTGAGAATAACACGGGTGGAGAAGGAGGGAAGGTAGGCCTGTGGACGCACCGGGGCGCCCATTCATCCCACTCACATCTTGCATCCATTCAGTGTGGCAATCACCTTCCTTGAGGCTAAAATAATTACCACAATAGGCAAAGATTAGGTCCCGTATTTGGGAAAACAAAATCACAGCTCTACTAGTAATATGCGTTTCTAAAAGGAGGGGGTCGAGCACCAGCTGCATTTGCAACATCACAAGGATAAAAATCACCACATATACCAAAAAGAACCCGTCGCCTGAGTAAATCCTTGTGGAGAGCTACTGAAGTAATGCTATGATTCATTTGAATCAGGAAGTTCACAACCATCAGGAGCGCAAAGGTTTAAAAGAACCGTGAAAATAAGTACCACAACCCACTTTGTTGCGCCATAATAGGCTCGACATTGGCATCACCTGCGGCTTTGCATTGTGATGAAAGAGGCACAAATGGAAAAAGAATAGCCCTGGAGTGGATTTAGAGGCTACGCATTTAAGTGGCGTAACACAAAACTAATGTATTTATACGGTTAGCCTTTTTGAAAGACAATCACGGGGTAGAGAACAAAAATTAAACAATTAAACGCACACTTCTGATTCCGGTGTTCAATGAACCAGACACCCTGCCACGTTCCCAAGTTCATTTTGCCGTCAGTAATGGGAATAGTCACATTGGAACCGCTCAGAATTGCATGTTTGGCGTGAGCCGGCTGTTGGGAAAGAAAAAAGGGGAAAGAGAGGTGGAGAGAATACGAGCGACCTACCATATCATCGGGACCTTCGCAGGAGTGCTTGTAGTTCAACTTCTAAAAGACCCTGCATCAGAAAATGAAGAAGGAGACTCACCTCCGGAATCAATCGATTTAGAAGCATCTCAATATCATCCCTAGGGAGAGGCTCGAATAAGGCGTGAAGAGGACTTACTTGACATCCCCGTCCCAACTCTATAAGAGGCAAATGGCGAGGTTAGAGAAAAGGAAGGGAGGGCTGACCTACCTCATTCAGTGTAATGCTACAGGAGGTGTGCTGCACTGAAACAAAAAAAAGACACAAGAGGTAAACAACTGAATACAGTTGCTGACACCTACCTCAGCACTTGCCTCCGTCCATATTGCCAAATGGAAACGATTTTAAGTACAAGTGACATTGACACCGAAGCGATAATGGTTATCCTCACAGTATAGCTGGGAGACAGAGCTCCTCTAGTCTTAAACTGACCTATTTGAAGAGTAAGTTTTGATAATTGATGAGAGAAGCGTCGAATGCAACAGAGGAATATATATCATGTTTTAAGACGTTTTAATGGCGCTACAGCCCAAACCAGATATGGTGTATGAAAAAGTTTGTCTCAGAGACAATTCACAGGATGGTGAAATAATTTTTTATGAAAGAAGCTGGAAATTAACGTGATGAACACCAGGATTTTGGAAGAAAATCGGCCATCACAAGAGACTTGGTCCATTACCAGAGGCTGTCACGCACGCGACCTCCCTACCGCCACTGCGTCTGGCGTCGTGATGAACGATGTGTGGACGACACGTGCGCCGGCTGGTAGGGGGAAGGAGGTCAAGGGACGCACCTGACACCACTGTCTACGGTACCATCACAACCGCATGCCATTTTATTGGATGGGAGAAGTGAGAAGTTCCAGTTAGATTCCAATGGCCACTGTTACAAAACTTTCATAGTCACTCCCACTCAAAATTGGAAGAATGATTGTATGGTCGGCCGATTTCTACAACTCCTATTCAATCCGTTCATAACCATAACTTCAAGAAGTGAACACCCCTGACGGAGCTAGAGATCACCACTTTTTGCTCTTCATCTTATAGAAGCACAACAGAGCACGATCTTCTGCCACAGATAAGTAAGTACCTCCTCTCAGCTGCAGACAGCAATGTTGTTGATAATCTAACACACTTCCTCCTTCAATGAGTGTCTATCAGGCGATCTTCACTGACAGAGGTTAATGCACTATTTTTTGATACGAGGTCAGACTGGAGCAGCAGGAATTTAGTAATCAAGAAAACCTAACACTAAAACATCCATGTGAAGTCGACCCGAAGGCACTCAACACCACTAGCTAGCATTAAACTTAACTGGATAAGCGATAAGAACCTGTCAAAACACCTTCATGCGGAAGCAGTGTTCTTGCACATGAATACGGAGTAAATGTTTCCATGATAACTTGTCATCAAACAATCAGTGCTTAAAAATGCACAAAAAAAATGCTAATCGCGGTTAACTCCCGAATCGCAGAACGAGATGGTACGGCTGAACTTGTTGGTGCTGGTCTGGTTTAATGTAACCAGGAACAAACATTGTCCGGTTCAACGATGGATCTACTGATTAGTTGGATTCTGAGACAAACAGCTTTTCAGCCCTTCGTGCAAACAAAAGTTCAATTGGAAGAACTATAAAAGGAGCAGTTAAAAATCAAACAAATGCACCAGCAGTTGGCCAGATTCGCTGCCAGCATGGAGAATAATAATGACTCAAGAGTTCACTGCCCCGGTGTGCTTTGATTAACAAGAGATGAGGTAAAAAAGAGGAAAACGGAGATGAACCCACTGAAGAGGTTAAGAGTTCCAATCTTGATTTGGGTGATTTCCGGCATGCCTTTGATAATATCGTCCGTGATGTAGTGACATCCTCGAGAACATGGTGGTATGGTAATGGTGCGTTGATACCACACAATTCCTTCACCACTGCTTGCCATTATCACACGGACTGAAATGGATGAAAAATAAATGACACAATCATCAACCCTCAGCAAAGCATTAATTGGGTTCCAAGAGGCACTCGATTCAAAAGCGGATACAATTAAGAGTGAAGGAATCACAGTGTGGACGATTATCCAGTTTATAGGGTGTCTGCTGGAGATCAAATGGAGGGGCGCTAAATTCATTTGGTTAGCTAGTACAGCTACAGACGACCAACGAACTTGGGAGTGAGGAAACCATCGGAGTAATAAATATGGCACTACGAGTACGCTGAAGCTAGAGGGAAATTACGCGGAGGAGGAGGAGGCTCAATCCGGGTCGCTTCCACAACCCACATGGGAAAGTAGGCGAATAGAGCTGGTTATTTTATAGCTGTGGAGACCAGCCAAGACTGTCAATTTATCAAAGGAGGGTAATTGTGCACTTTTCTCCATTCCCCCTTCACATTTCCATCTATTTCAGTGACACTCTAATTACGGTGAAGTTAAGATTAATGAAAATTTGCAACAAGCCGTAGCTCAAGGAAAAAAACGCACGTAAAAAACCTGAAGCTGAACAGGAGGTAATCATGTGTGGGTAAAGACACTCAAAGCGTAAACATTACAAACACCTATGAAGAGTTGTCTACACGTTTAAAAAAATTGGATTTGAAAGAGCTGTCTGCTCCTCAACCACTTCATGAAAGTGGGAATGTTTAAACCCAGAAATCACGTTCAAAAATGAAACCATTTCGTTAACTGCCTTTTGTCGAAGTAACAAAGCTGAAATACTGGGGGCCTACAAAAAATGAAATCGTCAAAATATAACACTATCTCCCATTTAGAACACAAGGTCTTTTGGTAACCTATTCAAGTGAATGTTTACCAGTTAAGATAGTAAACATTGTGACATCCCAACAATTCCCTCGACAAAGCAGTTTCTCAAATGCATAAGCTAAAGCAAACGTTAGGAACTTATTTTAGACAACTCAGTAGAAAAAAAGTGGAGACATTTTGAGGCAGAAAATCTTAGTGTAACCAGAACTGACCAAATATAAAAGAATGAGAGCTAGTAAAATAAAGATCTATTTTATGAATAAAAAATAAACAGAAAGGTTTAAGATGCGCAAGCTAGATGACACGGTGATCCGTGAAGGTAAAAAAAGCTCCTCGCATAAATTTTATCATATCCAGCACACACGCACACCATTTTAGGCTACACAGGACGGAAAAGGAGGGTGGTAAAAAACTCTTTAATATAAATATACACAAGATAAAAGGGAGGTGATGACAGTGATCACACCAACCGGTCAGCAAGACGCGCGGGAGTTCGAAAGCCATCAAACTCCTCAGTTGAAGGTGAGTGAGGCGGAGTGGCTGCCAAGAGTGAGGACTGCAGAGTTAACCGACATTCAAATTGATTACTAGTTCGGAGGGATATAAAATTATCCACTGGTGGTAGCGGCGGCAACGACTGTCCTGTGTCCACAGGAGGAGGAGAAGGAGTGGGTCTAAAGACAAAAAGATGGGGGGGAGGCCAAAAAGGGGATGAGAAGACACAGATACTACGAAATGCACTTGGACAAAATGGTGTGCAAGGCTTCCGTCTGATTGGTCAACTAAAATGGACCAATAGGCGTCGCATTTTGGACACTCCGTTCGCCAGTTTTACAACAATCACTGACCTCAATGCTACTGAACCTGCTATTCCACTGCTATGACACACATTTTCAGGGGATTTAAAAGAGATGATTGTTGACGCCTACCTTACTAAGTGAAGTGGAGAACCCTCGGGAGACGAGTCCCAGGCAGGAAGAACAAGCGGGGCGGCTATGATTTTTTCTGAAGTCTGTTGTACAAGAGGATTCTGAGGATCACTTTTTGTTGATTCAATGACATTGACATTGCTCTTCTTCTTCTGCTTGCTCCTCCCCCTCCTTCCGTTCACTGAGAGGGCGTCCATTTTGGAGGTGATGACTCGGAGCGAGAGGGACTCAAAGGCGAGGACGAGGTGAGGAAATGCAAGGCGGAATTCGGCCTCCGGGACGGGGAACCGATAACCGGCGGCGGTGAAGAAACGTTTGAGGAAAGTGGTTAGGTCACCGTTTGAACCATCCGAGGCTACCAGCAACTCGGACCAAATGTCTTCTTCTGGAAGTTTTTTGCCATTAACAACAAATTGCAGTTGCTGAAGGCATTTTAAAATGAAAACTAGCAACAGTACAAACATCCATGCATTTGATAGCCGGGGAGTGAATGGAACAGGAAATGGTACTGGGATAAATCAAATAAAACCAATCAAGGCTAAAACAGATGAAAATAAATTCAAATCTTCCAGGCTAGAAAACAACACAGCAAAAGTAAATAGCACCCCAAAGAGCTAAGTTGACACTTATAATGGAAGCACACTAGCGTCTTCAATTGAGGGAAAATGCTTGAAAAACGTTGAGAGTCAAGAATAAACGTTCACTAATGATGCCAGAAGTGACTTACTCAGGCGACTCCACTCTACTTCAAGGTAGGGAAGATAGTTCACGGACCTTCTCCGAATTATTCTAAAAAGACAAAAGTCGAGAGTGGAATTTTTGTATCGTTGTAATTCAACTAGGTCCAGAAACGGGCCCTTAGGTGAAAGCGAAGTCGCAGTAAAAACAGGAAGACTACTATTAAAATAGGGAAGAGGGATGTCGGTAGGAAGACGAAAATGGCACACAAGCCCCTTGGCCTGATGCCGCGTCTTTAATAACCCAACTTTTACATCATGGATAAAGTACTGGTGAAAGATAAAGAAGTCCTTGAAAGGCTATCAAGTCCTTTCCCGAATTCTGAAGTACCAGATTTCCTAGATAACATTTACTTTCCAGTGTTTTGATAGCTGTGTTCCAGTTTGTGAGTGTTGCTTTCATTTTTTGGTAGAGTGAAAAAATGGTTAGTGGATGCTAAAAAGCTTGCAGTATAGACAATTTGAACTACCAACAGATGAGGCATTAAGCAATAATGTAGACAGTACAACGACCAAGAAGTTCCAACCCTGCGTACCATTTGACAATTGAAAATGAGATAAAGATAAATGAGCCTGGTATCGAGAAGAGTTAAAGCTAGTGCGCTAAAAATCGTAATCTACCAACCAATGTGTGGTTAAACGATTTAAAAAGTGACCAACTTTAAAAATGCAAGGAAGTGACACGAGAGACCCGAAAAAGGCAGAAGTAGGTAGTAACCTATGATTTAATTCCACTATCCGCTTTTTTGTGACGACAAGAAGCAGTTGTAAACGAAAAGCTGAGTGCTTGAACTTTAATTAAATGCCACACTTCCCAGGATGCAGAAATAAAAGGCAACATTTGATTCAAAATATGACAGTTCAGCGTCAGGCTAGCAGTCAGCGTCCACAGTCCGACAAACCAGATAATCACGGGATGTTCCCCCAAAAGATGTCTCACCGGAGGGGCCGCATGATGTCCGCACACAATGGTGACGATGATGTCGACCGGGTGATCCAGAGGGCGAGAAGGGGGGTGAATTGGGCCAGGGCGTAGGCAGGCTGCCAGCCGAGGAAATCGACACAAAGTTCAACGGCTTGACGGACGTTGGGACGTGACCAGACCAGGCTTGCCTCGGCGGGCATCTCCCAGCCACGCGCCTGCCATGGTACGAGGAATTCATCCACCACCTGCGTTTTGTGGACGAAAAGGTTGAAAACATTAGGCTTCAAAGTGATACCAGATGGAGAAGGAAGAGAGGCTCACCCTCTGACTATGGCCATATTATTAGGAGTTGAAGAGAGCAGTGGTTACACGCCTTATCTACTTACTGGAAAGATAGGTGTTTCTTACCAAGGGAAGAGAATTGCAGGCACTAGAACAAGCCCGGGATATTCTCACTTCCGCCCGAAAGAGTGGGCTCATTCAGAAGACAATTCTCCAAGTGAGTCAGGCTAGACATCACCACCGTAAACAACATTTGTGCATACCTCAGCCACAGAGCAGCCAGCCAGTCCGAGGATGATTTTTTTCCATGTAGGGCTGCGCCACACACTGCTGTCTGCAACCACTGCTGCCTCCGAAGACGATGCAGTGGTGTCAAATCCGGCTCCAGTGAGCCGACGCAAAGCCTCTCCAACATCCACTTGGGTGAGGAGTTTGCACGCGGAGATGGGACCCACTCCAGGCACTCCAGGGAGCCAGTAGTCGCAGCCCAACACCAGACCCAACAAAACTAGCGACCTTCGACACAGGCTCAGTCGGGACTCCACCTGCTTCGAGCAGTACGCCTTCACCGAGGCATTCTAAATGTAGCAGAAGATGAAATCAAGTGAGTGACTTACTCGAGCGTCGAGAGAGAAGTGGCGGTAGACCAGTGTGGCGCCGTAGAGGAATGCATCGCCATCTTCTGTCACACACGCGTCGACTAGCTGGAGATACAGAGAAAAAACATTTACAAGCGCGCACTTCTGAGGGAGGCAAATGATTTTAGAAGGCTTATGAGTGGAAGGAGCGACATACATTCTCCATGTTGAGGAAAGCACACATGGCTTCGGCCTCTCCAGGACTTGCAATACAGGGTACACCAAGGGCTTCCAATAGCTGGGAGCACTGCAAAAAATGTGGAAAATACACATCCTCGTTTTGTTTAAAGTCACTTTCGTTGACCTCGACGCATTTGACTGCAATGCCACTACGTCAAGGTTTATAACATCTCTGACATACACACACAAGTACGCAGTTTAGAGTATCACTGAAATTTGACAAGTATGCAACCAAGACGTCAGAGGTTTTGTTGGTTTAGTACAATGATAACACTTGCAGCTCTTCAAAAACTATGTGCAATTATCATCTGTTTAGTAACATAATTCCACATCCACTTTACCATTTTATTCGCAACTAATCTGTCTGTGGAACGATTTGTGACGCTGGGGTTGGACAGGAACATCAGGGCGTCTCATGTTAACCCGTTCTTCACTGTTACCAATAAATTGCACAATCCATCCCAGCTTGGGCAGCTTACAAAATCCTGTTGTACCCACAACTTGAACCACTTTTCTCAAAGAGCATCGACAGTTGCTAGGTTGCATAGTCATGCATTAAAAATGCCTAATGTTGAAACATGCAACAGAAATCCACTTGGGTGAGTCAGGCCTTGCAGGCCTGCTTCCTTATGATGGGTGTTTGTGACTAGGAAGTGCTAAAAAATCATCCGTGATATCTAAAACACTAGGATTCCCGGTTAGCGAGTACGCTTACTTGTGCCTCCTCTTTCTCGGGTCAAACAGGAATGAAAATCGCATTTTGGGGGGATTGAGCAAATCAGTGTATAGGCAGTGAGAAAAAAACTGTCATTATGCAACTGCACTCTTGATATTTGAAATGAGGGATTTTCATGAGAAGTGCCTATCACAAGGTCCTTTTCCATACACGAGGTTTTTCGAGAGCGTAAATTTGGATAATGAAAAAGGAACTAGAATTTGGGTTTAACTGAACCGTAGTTCCAGCTCTCAAAAGTACACACAGGCATGGGGGCATTGATACATGTTCCGTCACACTTTGACATGAAGAAGGTAAACCGAAGTTAAAGACATAAGTTAACTAACAATAGGTCATGCTGTCAAACACAAGATTTTTAGAGCCAAATAAAATGAAATGAAATAAAAACCAAGTACCTTGAATGATATGCGCGAGAATTGTGATCTCTTGAGCAAAGCTGGCCTGATGCCATCGGGCAGATTGCCCAGTCTAAAACAATAATATCTTTAGATATGACATTCAATAGAACCTTAATCAATCCAAGGCGCCAGCGCTTTCAAAGGAAAGGGATTGGGAGGGAATAAAAACGATGTTTGAAGGCCCATTCCCTATTTGGGTGAAAACACTTCTGAGTGGCAAATAAACAATCAAGCGTGAAGCACACCCGAAGTGACGAAGATAGGCTTGCGTACTATAAGTGAAAACAAGGCAAGGCGAAACAAAAGGTGACCGAGTTACTGCGGGATAACATCAGGCACGAGGTGACCGCGAATAGAGAACAAAAACAAGAGGACATTATAGACAGAACATCAAAGAAAACAACTTTTTAACTACCTCGATAGGACAAGCATAAGAACCATAAGCATAAAAGGAAAAAAATTCTTACTACTACAACGAACAGATGTCGAAGGACTGAGAGCAGGACTTAACTCTACTGGTTGAAATGTGCCCCCTTTAAAACCTGAAACGGACTAGAAAATATTCTTGTAGACAAAATACGACTAAAAATGGATTTCTGTAAAGGCGGAAGCTCTCGAAAACTTCCAAGGAAGTTCGTCGGCATTAAGCAGTAATTTCAGCGATACTATTTACTTCCACTAGCAAGTAAGTAATTACTGCAGCGCCAGATGTGAATTTCTGGAATAAAAAACCGACAATTATGTTACTTCACACACACGGTGTCTGAAGGAATTTCCACGATAAGACCAATCCAGCTTCCACTTTATAACTACAGGAAGTCTCTTTGAATAAAATCGCGGTAATAAGCCTGAGGTATAAGGAGTTTTTACTGAGTTCATTGACATAAATGATGTCGATTTACCTTGAGACTTGACGACGTTCCTTTAAGGCGGCTGCTTTGACGGCCGGAGCAATTCCATCGGTGACTGCAATAGGAAGAATGGCTTCACGGAGGAGCGCGATCAAGCGGAACACCAGATTTCTGGACGAAAAAACACAGGGCGTGAATTAAATAGTAAAAAAGGCTATCGGCAATGCGAAGTTTTCGTAAGCATACCGAAGATAAAGCCTGCAGCCTGTTTGGACCCGTTGATTAACACAGATATCACCACAAACCCATCCACTGAGATCGATCGCTAACTTTTGACCACCCAGACTGCGAAGAGGAATGTGATCTTGTACTGGATTTAGTATGTTCCAAAGACCGTGGACGCCCATACCTTTGGGCGTGACTTAAATGCAAAAAAAGCAAAAAAAACATTGGATGGTATAGTCAAAATTGACTCGTTAGCGTTAAATCTTTACGGATCATAACATCAGGAATGACAAGTAAAAAGGCAAGATGCTGCAAAATAAATACATTGGGAGGGATCCGGCAAATTATGCGATTGACAAGTGGTCATTCGCGAGCAAAGTTCCGACCAGCAATTAAACAAATTCCAACAAATGTTACGGTGGTCAAAGTGCAAAAAGACAGCTGCTAACCTTTATCAATAGAAAACCATTAAGTGTTATCTTCAATCGTAATCCAAGAGTGCTCTTCGCTAGATTAGATAAACTATTCATACAAAGATGTATTAAAAATGTTTAGTATGTCTACAACTTAATATTGGTGGGGAGCCAATAAAGTGGAACAAAAGGCACCACCTCACGCAGTTTTAAGAGCGAAAATACAAGAAGCAAAACATACTCATTATCTAAGCCTGAGTTTATAAAAATAGGCATCAGCCAAAGAGATAAAAACTCCGAGGTTCCAAATCAACTTTATAAAGAGAATGAATACATACCACTTTAAAAACGAAGAATACCCGCATGATACAAATATTGCATCCAGACTCGTGAGTGGCGTACTCTTAAAAATACCACTTAAAAAGGCACCGCAGCCCAAAAATAAATATCTAAAGCACATCAACACTCTAAAACACCTTGAGCGGAAAATTGCTGTTTCTGGAGAAAAGAAGAAAATCAAAGAAAACACCACACGTGGACCCACGCAGGACTACAGTCAGCAATACAACCAATCAAGGACAAGTACACGACGGACGACCTTGGTCACTTGTATCTTGAAAGGTTTGGGTTTCCCTATGTTTTTTAAAACGCGATTTCACATTTCTCTACTATAGCACAACAGGACAAAAAGTCAGGCAAAGGCTTAAAAATTTTACTTTATCGTGTGATATAACTTCCGTTTGGTGATTAAGGTTCTAATCACTAACTTTGCCGTACACTTTAAAAGAGCTTCTCGTGATTAGAGACTCCTATAATTAGTGTACAAAGCTGTCATTGCAGAGTCGGATATATTACTGTTTAGAGAAGCTAATGAGAGCTTTCAAAGAACGCACTACTAGCTGAAGCAGGCTTTTGAGCCTTCAAACCTTCCCAGTTCTCTATTGGATTGGGAAGACTTAATTCAACAAGAGATATTTTCCTCAACATAAACCCACGTACAGCTTGATCAAAGTCACTTCCCATTTTTATTTGAAATGACCTGATTTCGGTGTCGGAACTGATGGAATGGGTGCTAAAATTCTTCGTCCCTAATGCTTTGAATTGTGCATCAATAGTCGGTACGATAGGGGAATATCACGCAAAATAGGCCATTGATTTTTGTCAGAAGGCGTAATAAGTCTCAAAAAGTGTATGAACTAACAAATACGGTTTTCCTAGCTTGGGCAGCTGGATGTGGAAACATCCGCGTTTGCTGACAATCTGCATGAATTTTCCGTCTCCGCTAAGATCCCCTTTTTCAACGCATTCACCCCACTGATGACCAGCTCAGTGATAATTCCACCAACCGTTTTTCATCCCAGTGTGATCGGATCTTCCTTACACCGACTGTTTTGAGCACAATGTCTATCTGCGCGTCCCAGTATGACTCTCTTCGAGGTGCAGTTTCAACCACTACCAACAGAGTAAGCAAATCTCTTGTGTACTTTCATGTACTCATCTTCATTCTCAACAATAAACGCTACAATTTTGCTTAAAAATTTGGAAGTTTATTTAGTATATGGCTCATTCCCAAAATGGCTGGTTTTACAAAAACGTCCACTTTAGGAGAAAATCAGTTCTGTCCACACTGGTGACATTTTATTTCGTGGCAAAAAAATCCTCGCTGAAGACGCTAGTATGAACGCTGTTAGAAGTGCATTATTTACATTTAATGGGGAAAGAGAAGGGGGTCGTGGAGATAACCACGATTTTGAGAGTACATGCCTATATGGATGACCACAGGCGGATGTACATCAAGAACGCCATGTCTGAGTTCCATTGCAGCCCTGGCAACAAGATCAACTTTAGATTGCATGAGGTTCGATGATGCACAGACTGTTCGCAGGTCAGTGTTCCCCAGGTTTTCTGCCAAAGCCTTTGGCAAAACAACTGCTGCTCCTGTTGCTGGTGAGTTCAAATCGTTTGATGGGAAAGTCGTAAAAGGGTCGGGTTTGCCGTACATTTTGAGTACAAAAAGCACGACTAGTAGTAGAAACGTCACAACTAGACATCGAACGCCTCCTCGATAGAATCGTGAACAAATGACGTAAAATGCGATTAAAGAGGGCAAGGTTGCGACAAAGTAGAACACCGAAAAATATAGAGCAATTCTGGAATCGTGAGCGATGGTTGGAGGTGACGCATACAGACGAAGTAAACCTCCTTCTGTGCGACTAGCATAGATATTTAATGCAGGTAAAAAATTCTTGGTAACTACAAGGTCATCCTCAAGAAGAACAACATAATTAGATGTGCGGTCCTGCCTTAGTTTCAGAGAGATGCAGATGATCATATCAAGGACGAATTTGCAAGGGCCATCAAAGACTTATGAAGGGTGAATAAAAGTTTTAGGTCCGAATACCCGACGAAGACGCTTCAATTCCATACTGAATGCGTCGCCATCTGTGGCATTGATGTGTCTAACTGGGGACAAGAGGAAATTAACCTTCCCTATGGCATCATAAAGTCTTGTTCTTGCAAAAAACAATGTTTTAACCAAGGCGACTGAGGTTTGTGTAAGATAATAGGGGTCAAAAGCATCAATTTTTCGGCGCCTTCTATTTGATGTTATCATAAGAATTAGAAAATCACGATTCCCACCGTAGTAAAACCTGTTATTTAGTGAAAGAGGAAGCCACTTTTTCAGACGCCACTGACCAATTAGTGTGTTTACTTCTGCTAAGCGAAACTCATCTTTATCGCGAACTGGAGAGGCGATCAAAAGCCGGTCGGCGAAATTGTAGATATAAGGTTCAACAGTGCTGTTGATAACGTAGACCAAAAAGAGCGTGCAAAAAAGACTTAAAATTCCACAGACGAGTAGTTTGTTAACCATCTAGAAAAGAAGGTACCGTAAAATCAAGCAAGCACTTAAATAAGATCTACCGCAAAAGCCTCAAAAAAGAAAAAATTATATTATTGAAAAGAATATTAGTATTAAAAGTGCATCCGAAAACACGCGAAAGGCTAACAGAAGTACAGACAACGTTTAGTTGCGAAAACTGTGAGTGCAGACTAATTCAAAAGGATTTTACCGAAAAAACGAAAGAATAAAATCTTGAATAAACCCCCTAGAGCCCATAAATCAGGATACGTAGAAAAGGCTTAAAAAATTAGTGTTAGCAGGTCGGAAAAAAGATCCTACGAAGGATAAAAACATGAGCAGACATTGGCACTACGTCTTCAACTTCCATTTCTGACACGCAAAGCAGGTAGTGAATACAAACAATTTAATGCTCACGATCATGTCATGGATAACTAAGGACTAACAATAATGGAAACAAACTAAGATGCCGCAGATTTGAATTGGTGCAATATTTATGCTGTAGTTTAAGGTCATAAAATTGTTTGCGAAGCGGCAAAAAAGCAGATTTTTCGTAAGATGTTGGCTGAAAGCTAAGATGCGCGGATTAAAGCTACGCAAAATTTATTTGTCTAAAGGCTGCAGGAAAATAAAATTAGCTTGGCAGTAGTTTAGGGTTACAAAGTGTACTTGAAAGATCCTAGTAAGCGCAAGATTAACAACAAAACTTTACTTACAAAACAAATTTTTTAATTTTTAATACATAATTTTGGCGTTATTTTAATTTTGCATTTTTGCTAATTAAATTTCTCTTATTTATGCCTATTACCTCTAAAAAGATTTAAAATTTGTTTGTGTTATTAATTTTTAACCCTTTTTATATGGTTAAAATTTACATTTTAATTGACACAACAGAGACACCTAAAACAGTTTTACTGCTCCCTAATGCAAGCGCCTTCTACGACAACCCAGAGTTAGTGGTCATTTAGTTCGGGAATTGTCATGGCGATCTCAGTCGCTCAGATGTATCAGGAGCGTTTTTATAGTGGCGCGTTTGCAGTTTTGTCAAATATTGACTTCATTTTGTTGCGCGTTGAGTTTCTTCTGCTGTACAAGAAGTTAATCCCCAGTATTATATTCGCCTCAGTTGTGCAAATTGTATTTTGGTAAATTGATGAGCATTTTTTTACCTTTAGGTAACTAGGATTCCTGTACTTCTCCGACTTAATGCAACCTTTGTCGCTGCTACGTTTTTGAGTGTGGGTCTGCTACTTGATCTTGGGAAGAGCTGGCTGTTGCCAAAAATTGAGTGTATTATGTGTCCTCTTTTTAACTGTCATTTATAGATCTTCTACTTATGTCAACAGGATTTGATATGGCTTCTGAAGTCGATATTGCCTTGAAAAACAGGGAAATTTTTTCTGTTGAAGAGTTGTCCTTTCATGCTGCCAAGGGATTCAGGATATTCTTAAAGCTTATTAATATATTTGCCCCCTATCGAGAGCAGCGCCCACTCTTGGTACGCGTTTTTTTTTATGGACAGACTGCATGTTTGCTCTCATTTTCTTACGTTTTCGTGGATTATTATCTAGTTTCTGATTTTGTCCTGCATAATGAGCCTTCTCCTCATTTGGATTGGTTTAATTGCGAAGGAGCACAATCTAACATATGTTGTGGTCAACATCTTCCTACTTCTTCCGGCCCTCATGCATCACCGAATTTTTTCACGAACATGGTCGGTGTTAAAGCCTTATATCGATCAAATCGAAGCCGAGTTCGATCGGGGTCAAATCGAGTCTATTGCCGAAAGGGAGGCCGGGGAGAGGGAGCTCTGGGAGCCTCTTGCCACCTCCTCATTTTTCAATCCATCTGAGCGAAGGTACAATACTTCCACAGGTCGATTTGACAATTTTGAGGTGGACGTCGACGACTTTGATGCTTCCGAATCACAGTTCATCCAGAGTTTTAGTGAGCTCCCTTTTGTTTGATCTAATTTATCCTTGGCTTTTTTCTTAATATCCTTGACGGTTTCTTTCAGTTCCCCACCGCTTGCACATATCAAAGGAGAAGAATAAGGTCGCACTTGACGCAATGACCCGGGAAATAATGGAGACCTGTAGGAATCAAGAAGATATCGATGAATGGTTCTTGGAGGTCACTCAGGACCCGAAACACCCAGACAAGCGTAGTCAAAGTGGCAGCATGACTGAAAAACAAACTCGTACAGCTGATCTCAGTTCACTTAACGCCAACAGTGGCGCCACCGGTGATCCAACTCTCAATAGCGAATTTGATTCTGCCGAGTGGGAGGAATTTTCGGTAAGTGATTCACATCATTGCTCTACACTTTGATTATTCGTCTCCTTTAAGGATACTGTACCACAAGTTGGTAACACTGCGGTTATTCCCGACGATGTTATAAATATGCCACTTACGAGCGTTACTGAAAGGGCCCCCAATCAACATGGTATATATTTATCCAAGTGTCCCCCGTTGTATGGACTCTTCGTTCATCACAATATCATGTTTTCAGTGGTAGCTAGTGTCAAAATAACAAGATCCGCCCATTTCCTTTTTTGTGCTATTTATAGAGCGACATACTTTAAATGGGCCCAAGACTAGATATCTTAAGCTCATTTACATTAACGGGACATTCTCCTCATGTTCCCGAATTGCATAAGTCCGCTCTTACAGGCGACCATGGATATGATATTGATTGCAGGAGGAACTTGGCTGCAAGTGCCAGATGCGTTTTTGTATTAGTGTTTAATGCTACACCTTCCTGGGTTTGAAGAGCCTGATCATGTCTCGATGATGTAGAATTTTCACCTAGTGGTTTGGAGTAGACGCAGTGTCTTTAAGACAACCTCATTCGTCCTATTGTCTTTCTGTGCAGCGGCTCCAGTGTGTGCTTGTGTTTGCGTTTGGGAGGAGTGATGCTGAGGCAATCAAATGACACGATACGCTTCGTTTCTTGTACTCCTCACACAGCCCGTTCGGCGGCGTCGCTCGTGTTGCTCCATTGCGTCAAGGGTCACCAGTTGGGCGATGGGTTTTAGAGCCTCTGCCACTGCGGCAGCCGATGCCGAGGGAGTGGTCCTGCGACGACGTCACACTGCGCCGCTGGACCGCTCAGCTCGCCAATGCAGCCCTTTTACCATCAGTGGTCGATTTGTAAAAATATCAAACCATTAACACCAATCTCGCCAATTGTCATCTTTAAGTTCTCGTATTTTTAAATGGAATGTTGCACCCTCTCACTGGCTATCGATATACGGTTTTATGCAGCTGATCTTTGTACAATTACATATTTTTGTAAAAAGAAATGAAGATTCGTATTGCTTTAGTGTTTGTTCGGTGGAAGTGAGTAGTGGTTCCCTTTCTTGATCAGATTAGGCAGATAAGTTTAGTCGGAGCTTACTATGAGAGTCCTACAGGTGATGAGCATCGAAATTCAAGCTTTGATTGAGACGTTTTAACGTGCTTAGTTCTTCTTGCACCTGTTTCATCTCACTGCATAAAGTGATACCAGTACTTGCAAAATTAAGTGGTAGTCGCAGGTCTGATGCTTGGAAAATCCTTAAAATCCCTTGCGATTGTACACGCTACTTGAGGTCGCAGTTACGTCATCGTTTTAAAATCTTTCATTGGAAGAAGCTGTGTTAAGAATATTGAAATGTCGGCAGTAGTCTTCCTGAGATAGTTGAAATTGTCAACACATTCATAATCCTTCGGAGTCCAGAAGTTGGCGTTTGAATCCCCTGCTGTCCTGATCCTAAAAATCAGAACTCTTTGGCATGGGACTTTTACGGATGATATTTTTAAAAAGAATATCGACTTAAGCCAGGCGATCAGACGGCTCAATCCAACATTTGGATTTGGGTATATTCTATTTTACCTAGGTTTGGAAAATTTTATTTGTGAACTCTAGTTGTTCCGCCTTTGCTAACGTAAATGTTAATCGAAGGTTAAAATTTGTCATGTTTTCACTACCAATCAGTGGTGTGGAGCCAGCATTTGCAGTGAATGCAATGTTACGTAAAGTAAATCTAGAACCTGATAGTGTTCAAGAGGTACGGTTAAACTCTCGGGTCTCTCCCTTCTATGCATAATCCCTCAGTGATGCGCAGGAAAGGTCTAAAAATTCAAGTACTTCAACACCACAGAGATAAATATTTGCAATAAGATGACTTCCATCTTTTTTATCCCAAAATTTCCCTACGAACCAGTTCTTCAATCCATACTGGCGACGAAAAGGATGGCAATGAGACTGCTTTCATTCTCCCATGGCTGATAGTTTACAAGAGTTGGGTGCCACAGGAGCAGAAGGTCCTTATCATTGTCCTGCTCTTTTCTTTCAGACTGATGAGGATGTGGAGGCAGAAGGATTCGGCGATGACATTCGTGAAAATGCCAAATCCTAGCAACGGTGACAGCGATGAATCTCCCCATTTTTGCCACGTTTTGTACAATGAAGAGCTTACCTTTTTCTAAGTTATTCCAAAAGAAGCAATTCCTAGACTTGACCTTTTAGTGAATAGATATCCCTTGCTCGGACAGCATCGACAGAGCGACTGATTCAACTTTCCGCTATTATCAGATCTCATTGGCTAGACGGCTCCAGTGATTTTAGCGGTGCACTTGCAACCAACCCTTCCCTTTGTCCAAAAGCTTTAGCCCACTTTTTAACATTGAAAAGCACGACTCAGATCGCAGGAATCATTTCCTATTGAGTCGCGGAACTTCCGAGTCCAGTCCTAGTTCGAAATGCTACCATCACGGAGTGAATAGTTGCCTTTATCATTGTGGTACTTAAGAGTGGAAGATTTGGAGATTAAGGGGTTCCGTTTAGGGCACAGAAACTCTAGATTAATCTACCCCAAAACCTTGAACACTGGTGAGTCAAGGTCTTTGTCCTCCTTACGAAGTAATCACAGCCCCTTGGGGAGCTCCGCACATAGAGAAGAAAGCCATTATTGAATTGTCAGAATATGAACGCAACCGCTTCTTGACCTTGACCCGGACAAATGACGATATGTGGTTATTGAAGAAATCCTCAGATGGATTACTCTTGGAGGGCTCGACTTCGTACTTGTATAGTGAAGTATTGAGATGGGTGGGAACCTTCCCTCTGCCGAGGCACAACCAAGTGCTCAGGAGGACTGATTGACAGCCCTCTTACCAGTAGAAAGTAACACTACCCTGGTCTACAGGGTTGAAGAGAATAAGACTGCACACCAATTATCGCAGGCACGAGACATGCAAATTTTTCTTTCTGAATGTACCCACGGTATAAAGCTATGACGAGCCAACTCGAGTGCGCATCACCCTGCGAGACAGTTAATCCAGCAGGGAGAGTGTGACCTTGGAGCAAGTGAAATAACAGTCCCGCTTCATTGGGATGTCAAGGAAAAGTGACCACTGGAGTTAGTGAAGTAGCTGACTCAAAATGTCTCTTGATTCAGAGCGTGAAAAGACATCAAAACGCGAATTCCGGAATAAAGTGCTATATTGTGAACATAAAATGAACTTCAACACCCTCCCCCACATCAACTAAAGTAAGTGAAGAGACCGCTAACAGCCCGAAATAAAGGCAGGATGTATGCAAAGCGAGAGCGAAGATCATTAAAATAATAAAATGATGTGGGAGGTAGAAGGAGTGGTGTTGCTAGTCCAGCTTCTCTCCACTCTGACCGCTGGTCACAGTGGCGGCGCCCGAGGCAGGGTCCAACTTCAACTCATACGTCACGTCCACCACACCTTTCCTAGGCTCGCTTGTGGTGCTTGGCAAGGCGTAGGGCAGAAGGAAGAGCATCAACAGTGGTACAATGTGTCCCAGGTAGTAGAAGTTCCTGAAACAGAAAGTATCGGACCAAAAAAAGTCGAGCAGAAGTAAGAGCGCAACTTAAATACCCCCATATTCATTTTATTTATATTAACATAATAAAACGATTTGCTATTTGAGGCAAAGATGAAGGAAAACCATGTATTGCGCAAAAAACAGAAGCGTTGGTGAGGATGAATACTTTTCAACAGTTAGTTATAGGAGGCGTTCGTAATGAGTCAATTCGTTAAAATTTTCAGAGAGCCTATAAGAGCCCAAAAAGAAAGCAGCCCTCAATTTCACCGCCATGTCAAGAGGGGCTCATCTAGGTGGGGGGTTACAATACGCAATACAAGCTTGTGACAACAGGATAACATCTTGTAACAATCCAGGAATCATTCAGTCAAAGAGGCACTGATGCTCAAAGCTGTCATTACTGCAGAAATAGGTGCTATTGTGACGTGATGAGTAGAGAAAGATGAGAGCAAATCAAGGGTGGGGCACCTTCAAAGTCTTAACTGAGAGAGCCACCAGAGGTACATTGCTTCCGTTTACCGGATACCTTACTCTTCGACTAGTGAGAGTGAATCCCGAGAATCACATCTATTGCGGCCGATGGACCGGAGAAACGCGCTGAATCACGAGTAGTACACTAGTTTACCTTAACCTATTTGCCCACTTACAACTGTAAAATGTCATGAAAATAATTGGGATCCTCGGCGTAGAACGGACGCTAACATGGAGAAGGGAGCGTGAGCAAAACAGGCAGCTGGTTTTCATCGTACACTCCTTGGGAAATGTGAAAAAGTTAAGAACCTAACCTGCCCACTCCATCAATGGTAATAGTATGTAATTTCTTGAGTTAAACCATCACTTGTTCCCTGTGGAGCCACTAGCAGATCCAGGGCGAATAAAAACTGCGCTAGACGGCAGAAAATCAAAGACGCAGCTGATCTATTAAAAGCTTTAAGCAAAGAAGTCTAAAAAAGAACGCTGAAAGAAAAATCGGGTTGAGATGCACTACTACGTGGACATTGCCAAAAACGCTCTACCAAATACTTTCCTATTTGGGTGGGGAGAAAAAAAACGGAGTTCGCATCATAACCTTAGTAAGCTTTAAACTAGCATCACCAAGTTAGTACAAAGTCCACTTCAAAGCACAAAATTGACAACTAGCAAAACAGCAAGTCTATTTTTCGATTCGCTACGCTGTTAACAAGCAATTCAAGAGCCAAGAGCACTTGATCAAAGTTTTAACGAAGCAAAACAGCCACGAGAACTAAAGTGTCCATCGGGCGAAAATCCCGTCTTTGAAGAATTACGTTCAATAGCAGTTTGTGGCATGAAAACAGCTTACAAAGAGGTAACGAACATACTGAAGCATGAGATATACATGGCAACACCTACCCCCACAGCTTGAAAGCCAGTGAGGTGTCGAGAAGGAAGAAGCCCATTCCGAGGTAGTTGAGAGAAAAAAGTGCGGCGAGATTGGTGACAATGTCGTAAAGAAGGTGGTACCAGTAGCTTTCAATGAAGCAGGGCCGTAACCGCGCTCGACAGAGCCTGTAAAAGAGGATGCATTACAGTTGCTATTCAATCGAGTCTACATGAATGCGACTTTCGAGCACGAGAGTACATTTAAAAAGAAACGAAACCACAGGAAATCTCTGAGGTGATGAGTGGTACCAAAGATGTCTGAAAACTTGGAAGCATCTCAGTCTGATCGAGAATTTGATGGTCATTTAAAATCGCAGCTAATAGGGCCACAGTCACTCATGTTTACCTACCCTTGCGAATGGCCACTCGCCATAGTTACATTTTCATTCCATGCAATTTGACTCGCCCTCCGAAATGCATGATGTGCCTCATGCTTGATCGCATATACTTCATCTTAGACACGCCAAACGATGGAACTACTGAATAAACCAAAATTTCACTTTCAAATCGTTGAGCCCATCATAATGAAACCAATGTATGGGGTACGATTCAGAGTCCACGATTAAGTATTGAAGATCGAATGAGAAAGCTTCCGACAACTTAAGGTGGTGTTGTACTGGGTATTGATGTAATACCTACTTCTTATCTAATAGTCGTTGTTCAGGCACCAGCCAGATCCTGCTGACTTGCAAATGCCTCGCCAGTCTCACGAATTCCGATTGCCTGTCTCGAGGGGGGACGCTGCCAACACACATGCGGGTTCGTGTAGTAGCTATCTTCACGATTAGTCCGAATAGGGGCGTCTCAACGGACGTCAAATACCGTAGTACGGTGATGGGGAGAAACCACTCCGCAATAAAACATTTGAATGGTGTAAAGGCGATTGATTCCAATATGACCATAAATGTCTGTGACAACTATATTTAGATGGGGCTTTACGTTGGGTAACGCAGCAATGCAATAAAAATGAAAGCAAAAACTTGAGAGTGTTACGGACAAGAACACACCTTCCAGTCATGGTAAGGAGAGCTGCAGAGAGGAAACAGAAGTAGTAGACGGGGTAAAAGCCATGCCAGAAGGCGGAGACGAAGAAAACCGCGACGACAGCGAAGCGCCTGGGCGCGCGCTCGTAGACACACTCGCGTAGCCACCGAGTCGTGCCAATGTTCCAGTTGTCCAGCATCACCTTCGTGTTCGTCCCCAGCTGGCAAAGACAGGAAGTGTGTGAATTTTATTTTGAATGCAATTTAATGGATAAGATGCGCAATCTAACGGCTCCAAGGAGAGCTCGAAAGATACATTTCGATAAGTACTGTAAGACTGACACAAATAGAACGTGAACTGCTTGTTAAGCAAAAGACTTATCATGTCGATTGATGACAAAAGTGCAGATAACTTGGACAGGAAGGAACTGTGACCATAAGTGATATTTCAAAGTGGATGAGTTCCCACATCACCGAAAGTAGGAAGCTTCCTAATCTAATCAGTTAACTTGGGTGAAAACAGATAAGTTTATAAGGAAAACCTATTGGTGCCTTCGTCAACCCAGAGCAGATGCACTGAAGGGCATTTTTTTGGTGATTGCATCAGAATCTTATTAGAGGATGGAAATAACCGCAGTGAAAGGAACACTAGGACACAGATAAACATCCAGAAGGTACAACCACGATGCAAGTGGAACGAAAATTAGGATACGGTTCTATTCTACTTCATCTGATAAAGGCTTGGTAGGTTAGTAGAAGGTAGGAAAGTAAAATGCTGGGCGAAAGTAGTAGAAACGATAGAAGACATCGGTTTCTCACCCCTTGGAATTTGGTATTTTCGGTTGTTAACTCATAAGTCCCAGGTTAACTTTAATAACCTCCTTAGACGGAAAACAACTAAAATACTTGACTATAATAATAAGGTGTAAATTGTTTTCGGTGGTGGGGTAGATAGTCTGATCCAGGAGGAACAGAAGAGACGTTCCCTATTTTCCACATAAGTCACGTCAAATTGACACCTCATAAAGTGGGCATCTTAAAGTCTTGAGCGAGTTTGGATTTTTGTATGTAAAAAGCAAGCGCTTAGGGCATCAAAGTGGAGAGTAGGATGAATAGCACAACCACAGACAGTCCCGTCAGTGTTTCATGAATCCTCTCCGAAAATTCAAATCGAAGCACCTCATGAGAGCCGTAAGCACTGATAGACTATTCTGAGCGGTAAGAATCAAACGTTTAGCGTTTAAAACTAAAATTATCCCTCATCAGGGACGGGATCAGCATTTCACAGCATCTACAAAAACCACCACTCAGACACTAGTGAGTGTAAGTGGAGGAGAATTCGTGAAAAAGGTACGGACTACAAGAGATGGGAATAGCACCAGGAGCATTCGCAAAGCGTTCAAGTAATGGTAGCTATAGGATCAATTATAAAATACGAAATAATAATGACGGTTTTTGTAGAGGTTAAACGGTGCGAAATCACAAAATCTAACAAAGCAGAAAGTACACAAGAATCACTTTATTAACCATCTGTCAAAAAAGGACTGTAAAAGTAGGGAAAGATTTGAAGGTAAAAATGGTAGATTTTTTCTCCATATTTGAAAAGAAATGCACTAGTGTGGGGAGCAAGGGAATAATGAGAGGATAAAACAGCATAAACCGGGAGTAACTTGCCTCAACATCGAAGAAGCGAGCGTTAATAGCGTTGCGATACTCCGGCTCCAAAGTGCCGTTGGATGAAAATCCCGAAAAGCCGAATCCGGAAATCAACATCGCCAATGCACCTAAAAAATACACAGGGAAGAAGAAATTAAGGAATGAGTGCCTAGCAGGAAAGAGGCACCAGATTGAACACTAAAATATTCTGCTTAGAGAAAAGACAGGTACACTTACTAATTGACCAGGCGCAGTAGAACTTTTGCCTGAGATAAAAACCGTACAGAGTGAGCCAAAAGTACTTTCGGAAGATGCCCAATCGTTGGAACTCTTCGGCTGAACAGGAGGATGCAAAACACTTTTAATGAGGAATTCCGGACCCATGAAACAGATTAATATCATATTTATAATCACTAATCGCCTTGAAGCAATAAGCACGTAAATAGTTCTGATGGCGAACCACCTTCGGTTGCTGAATTGCTAACAGTAGGCTGGGATAAGGGGTAGATGGCGCACGGATGATTGCACAGGCAATGATGCAAAGGCGAGGTACATCCAAAAAACATGAGAATGGACTCACGCATTCACTGAAAGCCGTTTAGAAAAGGTAAATTTACCAGGTTAGTGTAGCAGATGTGATGAATGCACTTTAATTTGAACTAAAACAGCAAAAAGATCAAACGACGGTAATATCTAACCCAGTTGTCGGGTAGGCGTTTACGCGCCTTATTAGCGGATCGCTAGTCCCACCAATGTAGTCAGGTGGCTTTCAAAAAAGAAAATTATTAGAAGCACATGAGCAACGAGCTCTCAAAACTCTCCAATAAGTATGAAGGAATAAAATACACAATGAGGTAGGCACATCCTATTAACAAAGGCACTGCCAGACTTCCAACTGCAATAGTTCGATAAAAATTGGAAGATACGAAATTGCGACTTACAAATGAGATACTCCGGTCCATAGCGACTCAACGCGTAAAGGGTGAGAAGGACGTGAAAAAGAAACGCAATTGCTTGTCGCCTAAGAGCTGCCTAAAGGGGAAAAAACCACTCCGCAAGTTCAACATGCAGCGATTGAACGTCCGGGAAAGTGATAAGCACCACAAAGTACCATAAGCCGATATTTTGAGTTATTTATACAGAGCATCACTCACAAGAACTACCGCAGAATACGAACCAAATATCCCATTAATGTCAAATGCACCACTTAAAATCAAAGCCCACATCATCCAAACAGATATTTAGAAAGTACCACAAACCACATAGAAATGATACAAAATCTCGCCTAAGATTAAGCAGCTATCAGCTTTGGTTTCTGCGTCTCACTAATTGTGACAACAGATTAGTGCAGCCTCAAAATTAATTTAACTGATTAAAGAGTTACGTGAAAAGTTGGGTTGAAACTCCCAAAGCCAAAATATCGGAGATTGGCGGAGATTCACCAAACATAGACACCAAATTGAACTACGTTTATAAAATAAATTGTTCAGGGGAAAACTTTAAATTAAGTTTCAGCACGGAGGGAGCAAACCTTTGCATCACGGATTTGTTTCTTATTCTTTGTCTAAAAGTACACAAGGACAAGGTCAGAGGCATGGAAATTTAAGCAATTAAGAAGTAACTACTCGAAGTAAGATGGCAAGGTGAGTGAAGCCGCTGAAAGCTTACTACAAGTTCCCGATCCAATGGATCACTAAATAGGTCTTCTTCGCGGCCTTCAATAAAACATAAATACTCGGTGTAGAAAAGGAATGGTCCAACCATCGAGTTTTGGAAGCAGAGAAGGTACCCAAAGAAGGGAAGCAACATTGGTAGATTTCTAAGCCATACAAGAATAACGTGGGAATCAGATTTACTTTATTGCACGCAATCTGTGAGACTCTCTTGAAACACTTCTGCCCTCAGTCAGAATATCACCATCGTATAGATTAAAGGCGAGAGATGAGAGCTTTTGTGTTTGAATCATTAAAGGTCTAAAAATGGACAGATGTACCGGAAAACTTACGCAGTGATATCAACAGATTGCTGTCTTGCTTCTGTAAAATCTAGCCTTTGAATGTGAATCCATGAAAGAAAAGTCATGGTAAAGAGAAGAACAGCGTATTGAGCGATATGGGGAGGGAGAACAATCATCAAAAGGTAAGTTGGCATAGCCTGTAAAAACAACAGCATGACGCGTCTAATAATGCTATAATTAAGGCAAGACACATACTCTTCGTAGCACAAATACATGACAGTGACGCCAATAACGACTTCTGTGAGATGTCGCTGTGTGATTGTATGCTTTTGCGGAGGCAGATAAGTTTTCAAGAGGAAACCAAATAGAAATGCCAAGACCTGAGACACAAAGAACGCCATCTTGAGGGATAATATGAAATAATATGACAAAACCTGATCAAGTGGAACACCAATAAGGGTGCTAAGAGTCTCAACCAAAAAGAGCACCATCAGTGTTGCCGAATGTGGGTCGAGGCCAGCCGCGTCGTACTCCTAATAAGTATCAACAAGGAAATTTGCTGAACATAGTGATTAAACTAATCCAAGCAAATAAGAGCAGAAGGTAATGCTAGGCAGTGGTGAAACTTAATTAAGGATGCTAAAAGTGGGCTGCAAAGTCTATTTTTTGAACGTTCAGAGTGGTGCAATAAGTGATTTTATAATTCTGGCCCCCAACTGGCACCATTGCATATGTCAACTTTAAAGTGACAAATTAGGTGGATGTTGAGGTAATGATATCGGTTAATGCAGATTTGGCTCCTGTAGAGGCTTACTGTTGATGAATTATCCAAGCTACTTATTTAGAACTGTCAAGAGTGTGCAGAATCCTAATATTGCGCGAGGTTTGCACTTCATACACTTCATACAATGAAGCAACCGACTCTGTTCCATCATTCCTTTGTTTTAGTAGATCTATTTGGCCTTAAGGTCATCATGCGCAAATAGAAAGCATGGATTGGTTCCTTCTGTGCTTGTTATTTTTCATTATACAATATTCTTGCTGCGAAGCCTCTGGAAACATAGTGCCAGTTGGTACTTTTTGGTTTCGTATTCAAATGCAATGTTCTTTGTCTAAAATTTGGATAAGTGCTAGGTTGTTTGACGCATATATTTAAAATTTTCCCTTCTGATGGGCGTAATTTTTCTTGAATAAACCATTTTAGCCTACTCTCCTAGTCTTGGAGTTCAGGAAGGTCAATTTACTTCACAATATCTTAGCGGCGTTCCCATGAACCCCAGTCAGTTTAGATGGCCATCAAGTTCAACAGGTATCGCTTATTTCTTGCCTACGTATTGTTCTATTCCCGTTTTACTTCCCTTTTTTGCTTTCTAAGGATTACGTGTGTTTTTCTTTTTGGACTTTTGTACAATGATGAGTGAGCGTTTGCGTGAAGAATTTTGCAGCAATTTGTACAAATACGAGATGAGTGGTTTTCATATGCATCATGCATAAAGCTGCTTCATTTTGGACAATTTTATAGGTACTCTTTTGATATAACTTTGTTTTTATTCATCTTTAGCTGGCGTCTATCGGGCTGCTGTTGGGAACTTTGATTACTACTTTGGACTTAATACTACAGAGGAAAACGTTGCATATTTCATCACTGGGAACCTTCCTCCACGGCGTACCAATGCATCTAGTTGGCTTCGAATTGCTCCTCATTTGCCAGATCTTGCGCCCATTGTGGAGCGATTTGCAGGAGCAAACCCAGAAACTGATGAACGTGTTTTCATTTCTGATGTAACTTCGGGTTAGTTAATTATCGCATTTTATTTTTATTAACCTTCGACGATCTGCTGTTTTACAGAATGTCGAGAGCTTCGTGAAATGATTTCGCCGAGTTTTGAATGGAGCATCTTGACAAGTGTTGACTCATTGCAACTGGGGGATGAATTGTTTCATCTCAAGTCACACGTAGGTGAAAAGACCGTACATTATGCTATTTGTGACGGGAACGTAAGCTCTACATTCAGCGAATTGGTATTGGTTAAGGTAAGCTTGCTTACACTGAAGTCCAAAAAAATTACTTGTAAAACACGCTCCTTTTTTATCCAGCTCCTAGAAACCGGACTTTTCTTTGGATCTAAAACGTATATTTACACTAAAAGCAATATGGTGAGTTAAAATTGTTTTAAAAATCCCATGACTAAAAATCCTGATACAAGTGAAGAGCTTAAGTAGGAAGGCTCCTCAAGTGCGTTTATTTTACTGACAAGCATATGAGCATCAATTAAGTTATCTAAGTGCATTGTAACTATGATACCTGACATTATCAAAGGGTGAGAACGTCGATAAACCGAATCAGAAGCTTTATAGCAGCTTAAGGGAGTTTTGCCTGGTTGCACTGATAAATAATTCCTTTATACTAAAAAATCTGACTGATGTTTCATTTTTCATTCTTATACTAAAATACCACAGTTACTTTGTTTTATTCTGATTCCTTACTTTTCCTCAAACGTATCATTTATCAACTAGTATCACGCTCATAGTTGCGAGGTGCCTACCAAATAGCATCAATATCCACCAATGTACAACACATTGATAACAGTTTTTTCTTGCCTAATGTAGGCTGACGGTGGTACCCAGGAGGCGTTTAAACGATTTGCTGACGCGGGTGCTTATCTTGCAGTTGTTTCACCGGTTCTCTGTGGCGCCGAATCAGCTCCCGTTGAGGTCTCTTTGAAGGCTCTGGAGCAGTTGGCTAAAAACTATGTAGGCGATAGTGTCATTCGTCTGGATGGAAAATGGGTCCCATTCAACTCACCCAATTTCCTTCGGCTGATACAGACGGTAATCACACACCTTGTTTGTTTCTGCCTATTTGTGGAGAATGATTAATAAGAATCTCTGTAGACAATTGCGAAAATCTTTGCTGGAGACATAAGTGATGTAATTAAAGCAGTGTTGCAAATCCACCTCACCTTTTTTAAAATTAACCATTCAGTTACCCTTAAAGAGTATTTTTTTACACAGAGAATGCAATGAAGGACATGTGTTTGAAATCTTTCTTTCGCTGGAATGAAGAAAATTCCCATATCCTCCTAAATGCTCTCTTTTAGACCACCATCAAGGTCTCCATCCTTAACCGGTCAAACTTCACCATTTGCTTTACACAAGGCGGTTTCCTGTGCATAATTGATGTCAACATTTACGAGATAGGATCCGACAGTACTATTTCGGTACGTTTGGGAAGTTCTTTTAATCCGCACTATAATGATCATTTTGTGTAGCCTTCCAGTGGATTCTATGACCACCGAACAGGGAAGCTAACGCTCCTGCCCAACATCTATCACCGACCTGTTGTTAAGCTACTGGCTTTCCAGGCAAGCTCAGTTGCCATATTTAAGATTATTTTCAATCTTTGCTTAAAACATCCTTTTTAAACCTGATGACAGCGTATTCAGGAACAACCTTTAATGCATCTGACATCTTTTATAACGAATTTTAAAATTACAATTAGGCATCAAATATGAAAACCTTAGTGTAAAATGAATGAAATTCTAAAGATTGATACATTTCAAGCAATACTAAGTGTAATGTGACGGTGATGGCTTGTCGATTGAGGAGTTTACGTTCACAACAAGTAAGATTCTACGAGTTCTACAAGAAAACCATTCAAACTATTTTTGCTTAGTTCCTTGGTTAAAAGGTTAGTAGTCTGTGCGTATCCCTGTGCGTATATGTCTTCAATGTCCCAAAATTCCTAAATTGGTGGGGCACTTCTGTACGGCTACTTAAAAAATGCAGCAAACTAATTTTTAGGACGCGACTTTCCTGCCTTCACTTGAAAACAGCAACTTCTCAGTAGCCATACAGATGATCCAAGAAATCTTCACTACTAAAGTACCCTACGATTATGAGATTGTCCCAATGCCCTACAACAAGGATGTAACCATTCAAGGCGCTGTCGAAGACTACTTGAGTCGGTCGAATGTGAGTACCTAGAAAGTTCGATGAGTCTCCTCCTCCTGCTTTAACTCCTTCCTTTCATCTTTTGAAGGTCACGATGGCGATGTCAGCGTTCCCCTTGCCAATGTTTGCGAGCACAACCGTCAGGCACACGGAGGCAGTTCTCTACGATGGCGTTGTTATGATAAAAAGTCGAAAAATGAACCAGCGAGCCTTATTTCGTATATTCGATTCACTCAGCGGTTACATCTGGCTATGCGTTTTCGCCTCTCTCATTTTCGTTGCCATCATCTTTTTCATAATCAAAGTTGTCTACGAACATCAAACTCGAGTCATGGGCTTCGTGTCTGAGGATCAGAATATTCCCCTTTTCAAGCGCTTCCTCAATGTCATCTTCCAGAACTTCTCTGCTGTTCTACTGGCTAAGGTCAGTTGCAATGATACCTAGAAAGGATGCTCAGAGCGGTCAAGCACGTAGTCGGCGTTTTAAGCCATCTGCGCCGCACCATTTCAATTTAAGTAACATCACAAAGTCTCCTGTACAATTTGTTATTAAGAGACTATTTGAAGGGGACCGGAATTACGGACCGAAAATGTCTATCTGAGGCAATGATAATGCCTGCTTAATGTAGTCCAAGTGAAATCTTAGGGGTATCCAAGCGCCTCTTTTTCCGAATGCGCTCCTGCGGATGCATTTTCATGCAGCTCGCAAAAGATGTTTAGGGACGAGCGATTGCCCACTCTGCGGCCCCACATGTGTGTGTGCGTGGGGGGTTTGCATGGGTGGGATTCACACCACCCTTTTCCAATTTGGGCACCCGGGATGCAATACTTTCTAGATACATACAGACGATAGTTAAGCCACAATGGGAATTTTTATGCTTCCTCTGTTTGCCTTACTGATTTTCCACCTCAGCAGAGCAGCGTGTGATGTGCCGTTCAGTTAGTGGTAAAGGTGGAGCAGGTCTCTCTTCCTCTACTGTGTCAGTGCTGATACTTTTCCTTGCAAAGAAACCATACAACACACCATGAAAGCTTGATTAACCGCCTTTTTGCGTAAAGATGCTAGTGAAGCCGAAACAGACGTCACTACGGGTGCTGTATCAGTCCTACTGGATGGCCTCCATCCTCTTCGTGGCAACGTACGCAGCCTCTCTGGCGGAGCAGCGTTTTGTGGCGCGCGAAACCATGATGCCCTTCAAGTCTCTCTATGGCCTCCTCGAAAACAGGGTCAACTATCGTTGGCTTTTCCTTCGCAACAGCTCCATCGTCTGGATGATGCAGGTCCGAACTCCACCGCCTTTTCCTATCTAGTGGTATCACCTCTAATCGGGTGCCCCACTGATTTTGATGGTTTTTTTTGGCAGATTGGCATTACTAATTCTTCACATACACCGTAAATCTACAATTAAGTCTCGTCTTACCGTGAAAAGATCGTATTGGGGTGTCTGCTGTCTTACATAGTGTGCATCTATGCTCGCGATCTCTCCTTTTTTGATTCTTGACCAAGAACACCCGCATTCATAAGTTGGTTACGTCTGTAAGCTCTATTTTTACGTTTTCCTGATATTTATGAGCAACTAATTGGGGTATTTTTTATTCATCAAAATATTATTTAAGCCGTGGAGACGTTTGCTCTCTGATCCATAGAACACGTCCGTCAAACAATATCGGTAGAGCACAAATGTAGCGGTCTGTTACATTTTGTCACTCGGACAGATAAACCTGGTAACTAAACTACACTTAAAGTTGACGATTTTCACGACACTTGCTTGATGCCGATCTGTCTCCGGAGTGAACCGCCTGCCTTCTTAAGAGTAAACCAGGCGTATTCTTTTGCGGACAAGCATATCGATCAGCCCCTCTGCGTTAACCACCACACACCACTTCCATCTCACGCACAAAACTGCCTTCGGAGTGAGTCAGCGCCTCATCGGTGCTGCCTAGACCAGAGCCTCATCTCGAGGAACCAATCACGGCGCTGCGCGCCTACCCGCGTGTGATCCGCACTGCTGCTCAATCAGTCAGCTTTGTTGATCGGTTTTGGAGACTGTCAAGTGATTACCTTTGCTTCCTAAATGCTTTTTTACCTCTTTTTTCTAAACAATACCTTTTTTCAGTAAATAAAGATTAGGTGTGAAGATTATTAAGGATCTGTGAACAGTGAACTATTCATTAAGACATTGATAGGGTGAGTAGCTGCACTTTGTTTTCATAAACAAATTTTAACAAGTTCTAGTCTCTCTTGTCAAATGCGCGTTAGAAAAGCATTTTGTGGAGGTTTATCCGCTTTAAAGTTTGCATGCACAATTGACATACATGATGCCTGTGTAGCGCTCCGAGCCTTCCCTGAAGACGAAAAGTGGCACCATACCTGGGGTAGAACATTCATTTTCAACACAGAGTAGGGCTTGGGGCTACAGGCATGGCCTAGAGCCCATGCCACCTGGCAATGGTACAGTGGCGGAGCTCCAAAGTGGCTCCTTCACCAAAACCAAGAGTTAACCAAGCAACCAACTTATTACAAAACACCTCTCCTCTTTTGATTGTCCTCCCTGGCTCTCTCCACTCAACTTCTCGCGTCAGCCATCAGAACATAGTCGGTGCTGTAAGGAAAGCATTCACGAACCATCTGTGCCAGTCACCAAATTTCCATGCGACTGAGGAGGTGCTTGACTGCAACGTCACTGATTTCACTTGGCTATTCCACTGGACCTGGAGTTTTGTCCTGTTTTGGAAATGCATTGGGAGAAGGGGGGAATGTGTAGGTCATCACGTGTGTCCGTCGCTAGTCGCAAGAACTCTGGCCCAAAAGCGGAATCAAATAACAAATAGCAGGGTTTAACATAGTTCTTCAAGGGTGGGGTTCCGCCTCTGTTCATTCTTTCCGCTTTGTTCACGTTGCAGTGCTGTCCATCCGTATCCATCTATCGGGGTTGTATCCAGCTAGTGGCGAGGTAAAGGAGGTATCGCCTGTTTACCTAAGCTACATTGTACCGGCACTGCAAACAGCTCCGTATCGTACTTTTCCTGATGGTTCACGGCAAGTGTAACTTCGGTTGTTGATGCCTTTATTACAGAACACGGAACTGGGGTGGTTGCCGAAGGTGGACGTTATTTACAGCTCTTCTGTTGGGAGTCATCACGGAATCTCCTACCCACAGTACATAACCTTCTTTCATCGCGTTAAGGTTTAGCATTCAGGAATGGAAATCAAAGTAGTGGTTCTTTAGGATTGAGTTCGCTTTCCGCTCTCACCAATGCACTGTCCTGAGACTTCCCTGAAGACGAAAGAAGACAATACTCGGAAAGAATATGTATGTTTGACGTATAGGAGGGCTGCGGGACTACTTGCATGGTTCGGAGGCCAGACCACCCGGTGGAAATACAATTCCAAAGCACTTAAGTGGCCCCCTTATGGCCCCCCTTATTTAATTCAAGTTCTGCAACCTTTACGACCCATTACGTCGAGAGGAATGCATGCACATCTTTGACTCTTAGTTTCTGCTACTTTACTCCCATCATATGGTTGTAGTACTAGGTATAATTAGGGTAATAAAATTGTCTAATTGAGGGTCGAAAGGTCAAGCTGCTTAGCTGGCGATGATGGACAACTTTCGGTCCTACCTAAAAAAGTCCTCAGCTTCAAGTATCTTCTTCAACAATATCACTGATATCAAAGTGTTTGTGTCGGATTTTTTTAAAACAAAATTAGGGAATTTAAGCGGAGTGCCATACATTAGGTAGATTGCTGTTTCTGCTACTACCTTTAGGTTTCAAAATTTCCGACCGCTATGCCATATGCACACTGGTATCTTGACGTGTGTTGTACAGGTCCTCTCTGAAGGCGTTATAAGCTGTATGGTCCCCGACAAAACGTCACTATAACCGTATGGCAGGACTAGTAGACTGTTGACAGCAATTCCAGAGAACGAGAAGCCTGCAAAGTAGCTAGTTATCTTAAAGGGTCATTTCGTTACGTAGCTCTCATCCTCTCACTAGTATCATCCTCTACGCTCCGGCTTCGGTCACCACGACGCACTGGAAGCTAGGAATGAGTGTCAAACCCCGATTTTTTCATCAAACCGACACTGGATCAGTTGAGCTAGCCCCAGTGAGGCCATTAAAAAGCCCCACAGATCTAATGTTCAGTGTGCACTCCTCATCGGTCATTTTGCTAAACATCCTCCAGTTGTTAATTCAGCCCTTTGACAAGGTTGACAAACCACCAAGACATTGTTGTGCTGCGATGTTCCAGCGATCCAAGGAGAAACAATAATTTCTACAAGAAGCATTGTCGTCTATAACTAAGTACTTCTCTCTCTTTTAACTAAATGAACTTCAACTTAAAAATTTAAGCAATCACAAGACGACGCACTGAGGAGTTTGCTTAGCACTGCCGAGCGCGACTGGCCGAAGGAGATGTACGCGGAGAGTGTTGGAGAAGTGGCTGCTCGTATGGCAGCCAACGACCACCTCATCTTCATCTCCAGTCGACTCGAGGCGAAGCAAATCCTTAGCGAAGAGTGTGGATTGGCAAAGGTATTTTATTTTCACATTCCACTATTTTTAAACAACATTTCCATTCACGTTCAAAAGTGAATCTCATCATCATGAACCGCCTTGTGGTTGACTAATGAGGTCATGTGAATCCACGAAGGCACAGGCACAGTCTGAGCTCAGCACTACAGCGCAAAATTCATCGTAACTTTGACTTTCTTAGTCCATTTCCCTGCCTCCCTTTAATTCGTAGTGTAAAGTGAGTTCTTCAAAAGTTGGTTTCATAAGGCAGGCGCTTTCAATCCTCCCAGTCTTTTGTTCTTCCCTGCCGGAACTCAGCACTGATGAGTCTCCTTATTTGATTATCTGAGTGAATGTGGAAAATAGAGTTTATAATTAAGAGTAAATTACTCTACCCTTAATTCCATTACTCAGCCACACAGAAGTCAAGGCGTCGATGACTCCTGTGAAGCAGCTTCCACAATGAGGAGGTCCACTTTTGTCGGTGTCTAAAATAGCAGTGGGTTTGCGGTACTGAAGGTGTGCTCAAAAAAAACTTTTGAAAAGATAGTCTAAACATGGCAGGTTGGTTTAAAGGGCCGAACAGTAGAGGAAACGTAACACTGGCTCTCAGGACGTAGGCTATTTGGGATGAAATGGAGTTTTCTGAACTTCACAAGGCCTCGTCCAAGCAATAACCTGCAATTGCACTACCAATAAAAGTGGGATGAGATTTTTTTTGTTAGACTATTTATGTTCCAGGAATCTTGCTCTTCGAACTCTTCACGAACAGAAAGCGCCCTCTACAGAGGTTTGTCTTGTCACAGATTTTCTGCAAAAAAAAATGTTTTTCCCCTAATACACACAAGTGTGGGATAGCTACATTTTGGTTGCGTCTCACGAGTTTTGTGCTAACGGGAATGCTTGTTTCTGCAGGTCACTTCTGTAGGTGGAAAGGTAAGCACCTTTTGATGGGGACGATAAGAAATTGGACATCGGAGTGTGCTTTTGCTTCTCTGAAATGCTTTTGCTTTTGACTCCCAAAATTCACAAAACACTTTTTTCGTGCATCAAACTTCCCTAATGCTGACAAATCTATTCAACTCAGCAGCTGCAGACCATCTGTACTCACACGCCAGATGTAACTACTTAATTAAGTAGACTTTCTGATGCGAGAGGCTTTACAACTGATTGTGCAATCAAGGGTGCTGCTTCTGAGAGCGCATTTGATACTTTACGTGTGGCAAGTGAAATTGACGTGAAGGTATGAGCAGTTACAGTCTGTCCTTACCGCTTGACATGGTCCTAATGTTTCGCTCCTTGCACAACGGGCGAATGTATTTGCCTGTAACACTTGAGAGGCAAGTAGAAAATGATTGGGTGTATATTTATGCACCATTAAGCATGCATTATTCTGGTATCCTTTGTTTTAATAATAAGGTTTATAATCGCTGGAGAATGGAGGAATCATTTGTGTAGTGGTGCTCATCCTTCCAAAGTATTCCTGTTTAGGTACCGTTTTCCTGTTTTTAGTCAAAAGCTATCAGTCCAGCAGAGAGAACACAGTTCTGACTAAATAAGTTGCCCACATTTCCTTAATCAGCCAATGACTGGAGTTGTGCAACAGTTTCGTATTTCGACACATCAGTTCTCCCAATTCAATTAATTCAGTGTCTACTTGATGCCAACTGAGAGTTAGAGATATTCTTCATCGAATATGCCACAATTCTTGCACTAGTTGAACCGTTTATCCCCACCTCAAGTGAGTATACTTTGAAGTGCCTGATTTAACACTAATTGAGTTCCCTCGTCCGGTTTGTATTGCTGACTCGTGGCAAACCGTCAATGACAGTATTGACATCAGACATAATGAGTAAAATTTCCTTCAGTCAGGCCCTGTAGAATACCTCTATGCTCTGGGGTACTTTCTCTCGGGAAAGGACGAGTTTGCCAAGTTGATGACTGATCGAATCAACGCCATCAGCACGGATCAGACCTTTAACTCCATTGAAACGAGGTGAGTTTATCCTTGCAAAGGATGCAAAACTGAAGAGCTGTCCACTTACCGAATTAAACAAAATATGTTCATTTTGCGAAGCTAAAGCTTGGTAGGGATATAGGTAAATATTTCTATATTCACTGGTTAAGAAGGATACAGCTAGAATTACCTGCTCATTAAACACTTGCTTGCTAGCTCTCAATGTGAAACACGTCTTCTAAAGCTTATTTCAATCGTTTAAGTGCTCTCTAAAGCCCCTAAAGCAAAAAGTGACCGATTTCACTCTGGTACGGCGATAGACCAGTCAATCTGAAAGTGACGCTAAAGGAGACGAATGAACAACAGGAGCCATACCGTTTCCAAGCAAAATTTTGTCAACCGGAAAGTTTGTGACGCATGAGGAGGATGAAACAAGTACTTTAAAACAGACAGTTTAAATGAGCTATTCTTGACCTATTTTGACAGCCGCTACAAAAGACAATTTGCAGTATGATATACACTAACAACTGTTTCGGAGGCGATAAATAAACGTCGGTAAATCATCCTAAACCTTGTGCTTGATTGACGCATCGTCTATAGTATTCTCTAGTTGGAAATTTTGGTATTTTAATTCAGAGCTCTAGGCACGGGTGACTGTCCGCTTCCCTCGGAGAAGATAAATATGCAACACAATCCGTTCTCCCTCAGGGAGTTGGGTGGACTATTTATCATTGTACTTGTTGGCATAATCATCGCTTTCATTGTCGCCGGTATCGAAGCTGCCATCGAGAAGTACCCTATGTATCGCCAGTGGAAAAAGGCAAGCGCACTTTTTTGCAAGTACACAACTTTTTACTTACAAGTAATTAAGTAGCGCGTCTTTTGACTTGTAGGATAATGATATTCGCTTTGGGGAGACGTATCCCGGTGAAGTGCTCGATATCCAGTAAACTTATTATTCATGCATGTAAAGTGGGGAAAACTGACTTTAGTTCTGATATGCATGTTCCTTCTACTATCCCCAAAGGGATGATGGTATTTGGATTCGACTGCTGGAAAATGATACGACTGCTTTCGTCGACGCTAGCCGAATAAAAACAGTAAGAGGCGTAAGTTGCCGCTTTGCGCCGATCACACTGCACTCGAGTCTTTCATTTTTGCTTTTACAATCTAACCTTATGACATTTAATTTTTCCAAAGCTTGCAAATGCATTTTTCTGGTCATGCATTCGATTTATATTCATTAGATCTCACTATGCGAATTACTGAGCACTCAACCAGCTAGACATCATCAACGTTTTTGAGCCTTTTTCATGTGCTATTTAACAAGCCATTTTTAAGTACGTAAAGCCCTCGATTAAAACTTTTCAACTTGAAGGAGGGATTCTTTTATGGCTATAGCTGGATATCTTGAATCCGACGATCACCATGGCAACCATTAGTTCGTGGTCGGTTATTTAGGGTACTTAGACCTAGTAAAACTGATTAAAATGTGGTTATGAGCTGTCAAAAATGACCACTGACTCATTAGAGATTTTTTTTTTGCATGAAGTGACATTTCTTAGATCCGCGCAAAGTAGTTAACTAAAGTGGGATTTCTTGTGTTAGTGTTGCTACTGCGCTGTAGATTGAACGCGTTTTACAACGTACTCGTCTCAAACTAATGTCGGCAAGTGATTCATCATACACCCACAGGACTTGACTCACACCAAACGCCAAGTTTGGTTGTTCTGATTGCGAAAATTGTTAGTAAGAGAAAAAAGGCGTTTTGATTCGTGTTACACTCGCTTGGAGGCGCAACCTCTGCCACACAATTTCATCGGTAGTGGAAGAGTCCCCAGAAAAGGCTATGCATGGAGGTATTGTCCTCCTTTCCTCTCTCTCTTATCCCTTCTGTAGCGTCGGGCAGAAAGAATGCTGGCTAGGAGGGAGGCCTGCGCACCAACGGTATGACCAACATCGCCAACAATCACCATCTTTATGATTACACGGATTTTGTTTCTTCCTCCAACTTACATTTGCATTGTGGTGCAGTGTTTTGGTTGTGGTTGTAGTTCTACCGAATACCCCGCTTTCAATCCGTGCTTTTATGTGCGGTTTGTACAGCTTGTGATTTAAGCACTTGCGTCGCTGTGATCTTAATTTCAACCATTTCAGTGGCTTTTGCAACATTAAGAAATGCTTTTCCTCTCAACCAGCTGACCCTGAAGTCGAAGCCAAATGTAATCACTTAGTTGTTTAAACCTTGCAGTGATTTCTTCCACCAAATCTTCCCTGCCTAAGCATGAATGCCAGTTCTAGTCGTGCACGAATCGCCAGTTTGTTGTGTAGTGACTTTACTGTTCAGCACTAACGCCTGTCTTATTCGCACTAGTTACTGTTGCCAGCCAGATGGACACAATTTTGACTTGCAAAAGGAGGAGGAGAGTCATTCGGGGGCATTCCAAAAAAACAAATCTTTTGTGTCACATTCACTATAACAGCTGATATCGTCGTGTCTGCGAAGCACGCAAATCAAGTGAAGAACCGAGGAGAATGGAAATGCCCTATTTCGCCATCCTATACAGGTGCTCTGCATGAGATAGGCACCAACCCAAGTCAAATAAGGGAAGATTCTATTTAGACGATCCGCTAAACGTTCAACTCAGGTGAAGAAACACAGGGCATAGTTCTTTTGTTTGTTCATTGTTTATTTTTCTGTGTTTGCAGTCGGATGGAAGGCCTCGTTTGGAGATGGGTTCCTTCGTGAAGGCGACATACATGGGAAATGACCCGCGCACCGCAGACCCTCTCTTCTCGGTCACCGAGGAGAAGACCTTCAGACCCGACGACGTCGTTCCACCCAATAATCAACCGCATTAAATTCATTGCCTTCTGCAAAAGCTCCCATGGTATTACAAAAAATCCTTTCGTCATTCAGGTATTCATAGGTGGCCTTCTAACACCTCATCACTTTTGTCTATTGAATAATCTTTAAAAGATTTGGCTGGCATAAGCATAAACCGCTTGAAGTTTAGCAAGTTCGATGCAGTTTTAAAATAAAATTTGCCTGGGAACCCGGGTCAGATTCTTGAAAAGATCTATGCGTTTTAGCGAGTAAACTCAAGCGAAGAAATGAGTACGCTATCATGATGTTTACTTTGGGAAAACTTGAATGGGTTCAAAGCCTTGTGTCGCGCTTAACCATCTCGAGCGCCCTTCACTAATGGCGGTCCAGCTGTGCCGCCCTGAGACTTCTCTGAAGAGACAATATTCGGGCAGAGTGTGTACTGTCGATATACAGAAGGGTGGGGGGGGGGGGGGGGGGTCAGTGGCATAGTCTGGAGGCCATATCGTCAAGTGGAAGTGCAAAAGTGGGGCGTTAAGTGCCCGTAAAATCAAGACGAAAAGTTCAACATACAACCGAGGTACTCTAGGGCTCACTTCTTTTGAGTGTCGTCCCCGGCGCTCCCCTTGGGCAACCTCCCCATCGACCATCTCAACGAAGTCTGTGCTGTAAGGAAAGGCGCCCACACGCCATCTGTGTCAGAAATCAAATTTGCGTGCAATTGAGAGGATATATGACCACAACGTCACTAATCCCTCTTGGCAGTTCCACTGGATCTACAGTTTTGTCTTGTTTGGGACTTCTATTGGGGGAGGAAGTGTGCTGGCTATCACGCATATCTATTGCCAGGCATAGAAACACTGCCCTAAAAGCCGAGTCGAATAGCGAGGGACGGGGCTTCAAGTAGTTCCGTGAGGATGACGTTTCGGGTCTATTCCTTCTTGCCAATTTGTTCTCACATATCTATCTGGGTTCTATCTAGGTAGTGGAGAGGTGGAGGAAGCATCGTGTGTTCACTCAATGGACATCTGTACGCAGATACCGTGGGCAGCTCCGTAGTAAAATCTTATGAAACCACGATCCTTTCCACAGGTGGCTAGCTTCATTTCTTCGTAGATTTGTACCATAAAGTCCTTGAAAGTTGCTGCCGGGACTCATTTAAACCTTGACTACCACCAACTTTGCCCCCCAGGCCTCATTATGAAAGCAATACGGCCGTAAGATGCATTTCAGGGTTTAGTGAGACTGGAAATGCCAGGTGTATTCGGCCTATTCCCCCCAAGTTTGTTGTAGGTGGTAAATGGGATCGAGGCTTTTTTCATCCCGTTCCCAAAGGCTTGCTGCTTTTCTGTCTTGCGGTCAATGGATGGATGATTGTGATGTTGGTTGAAATACAAGGACATAAATCCTTTAATGGTGGGGCTTAACGACCACCAATTCCTTTACGTGCTAGTCTGATAAATGGACCCTCCCTGTGCCCAAGCACAAAGGAACACTTGCGATCACCTCTGCCAGCCACTTCATGTGTACCTGAGGGGTTTTATCGCCTTACGGAGGAGGAACTCGTGATTGGTACACTAGTACCTCTTAAATTAGCCTTAGAATGATTTGCATCAGCATATGCGCTGGTTTCTGAAGGCTTAAAAGTACTGGGCATGAACTGGTTCTCCTTTGATTCCTAGTTCTCCAAAATTTGGAATGGAGGTGAGAGTGTGGCCAGAGGGTTGTTAGATTTAGCAGGGAGAGTTTCGATGGCATGTTTTTTGTTGCTCAAATTAACGAATTTAGTGTTTTATTGAATGTTTTTTTTGCAAGACCTGATGATAGACATGCCGTCAGGAAAAACTCCATTCCATCGTCACGCCTGCTGACAGGTTTGATGAGTTGTAAGTTTGGTTGTCACCCTGATTTAAAAGGGAGGCACAAATAAACCTACACATAAATGCACAACAAATCGTCGAGCTAAATAGACGGGTACAACTAGGTGCTATTAAACAGTGAACTGATAAAAGTGCCTGGTTATGTGTTTGCCAAGCGCCTTTTGAGGGGACCTCCGTCTAGGCTGCGAGAAGTGGGAGCCCAGCAGAATGTAGCAATTGATAGAGTAATTTTTTTGTCCTTCTTTTGAACATGAATGCAAATTTGTAATATCCTTACTGACACTTGAGTTATTTCAGTTCCAGTTCAGAATGTAGCCACATTCCCGCCTCATGCGGACATACACACACACCCTCTACCCAATCTTCCTTAAGGTCCGATTTCATATTGTCCACTTATCTTCAAGTCCACTTCTCCTGATGCTCGGTTTGGGCAGAATATTCAGTTGTTGCAATAATTACTCCATTCAACCAGGAAAACGTTGATCTACAGAAGTGGGGACGAATACCGGAACTTTGATGTGGGCCGGTTCTACTTTCACAGGCGACAAGCGTTACCTTACGTACGTATTTAAAAGGCTCAATAAGAAATATTAAATTTCATGTTTAAGGCTGTATTGCGATCGGCTTCATCGCGTACCATGAAAAACAACTTTAACTGAACCGCGGATTCGGGCAGGGGCAAATTACATTGGGACGGCTCATGCCTCCTGCCAGCCAAACGGAGGGCGAACATACACCCAGCATGCTTGGAAATGAATATGTTCTGCCAATAGACACTCGTGAACTCCTTCCTCTCCCCTCATCGGCACCAGAAGGCCTGCTCCGCCACGTGCAGGCAAGAGCTTGAATAACGCCCCTCACATTGGAGATGTTGCATGGGGCAGTGGAGCAATCGCAATTTATCACTTTGGCAATGCCATATTGGAGGACAAAAACGGCACCAATTTGCTGATGGGTGGAGCTTTGGCCATACGTGAGAGTGCGGTAAATATTAAAATTGACAAACGCTTGCCCATCATTTATTTTGCGTCGGTACATTCTGCTCACCTGGCCGTTCGGCGCATCAACGCGGAAAGCCGATTGGGTAGACCCTCTGTGGACGCGCCTATAATTGTGCATTCTGGAGGACGTTTTGAGGCCGCATACCTGACATGAGTAGAATTTGGCGTTCTCGTTACGGTGGTACAGGGTCAACCCGCTGTCACAAAACACGCATTCTACCTACCCAAAGAAAATAGTCTCTAACGACTGAAAAATCTTGGACCAACTGGATTTTCAGTCGCAACAGTGCAGCTAGGTGGTTGAGTTAAGGAGTGGGATGAATGACATCCCTAAATCACCTACCAAATGGCCTCCACAGATACGCATGATCTCTCAGACTGTAAAAAAGCCTTCCATACGATTGTAAACTCTTCGTGAAATTGGAGCAATGAATGCGGAGAAGTGGAAGAGAAATGCATTCCTCTCCTCGGTGAGATAGGGCGGTTGAGAATTCGCGTTGAAGGTCAAGTCTCTGTTCCGCAGGACTAAGTTTACTTAGCTTGGTCAGCACGCAGGTTGCCTCCGCTAAATGTCAGCTCTCTTAACCTCACCTTTAATTTGGCAATGCATTGCGTACCTAATCACCACGAGGTGTATTGTCGACAGACTTGCAACACCTTCTTTATTTGGGCAATAGCATGTGTTGACCTCGGAATTACTGTAAGCGCAGAAGTTGCACACTGATCCAATTACGCCGATGTCTTTGGAGCTTCGCGACTACAGAGAAGCCAGAAGCTCATTAATATGCCCACTATTAGGGCCAGTCTTGACGAAAAAGTGGTCACCATTGCCCACAAATGCTGTGGTTAATTCGAAGTTTTGTTAAACATAGATTGAAAAAATACAGTCACCCTCTCCTATCTATCCCTTCATTCATTCGTATCTGTCATTCACCCATCCATCCATACACACGACTCAACTCAAACCAACTATATGTGCCTCTATTTCCTACAGTTATCCACCACAAAGCGATAGGGACCAAAAGTCACGTATAAGTGACGCTGGGATGATTATCCCAGATAATCCAACACTTGCAGGAAGACATCTGGATTTGGGACCTTGGAAGCGATTTAGATCATTAGGATTCCTTTTTCTCCGTTCTAAAACTAAAACGCAGCTATAATCCGACGAAAGAACATCGCGCACCTCTATTCGCCGGTCGGTTTGCGACCCACGAGTCGGTGAAAGCCCTTATTGGTAGCTGCAGCAAGGGCGTCGGATGGGGCAAATACTTACAGAGACATTGAATTCTTTCCCAACGGCTAGGCTGTTGCCTTTGCATTTAGGCCTTATTTATGCAAAGTTTATTTTGCAGTCAATCATCACCTTATTTTGGCTGGGACCTACATGCTAACTTCCACACCCTATCCCATGTGAGGGGAAGAAGTGTGTGTATGTGTGCGTGACCACCATAGCGCCTTGGTGTAAACAATCTCCTGCGTAAAAGGCGTTAACAAGAGGCGGATTTACACATCCCAAATGCAGTACACCGACTGACTGACCGACCCATCACTACGTAAGATTCCTTTTGACTTGCAGATTAGGTACTGTCCAAATGCTGCTTTTAAATTTACACCCCTACCTTTTGCATAGGGAAGTTTCGTTCCTTGAATACCATCTCATGTCCGGCCACTTACACTACAGTAAGATCATTTTTCTGTTGAAAGGGTTTTTTTTGGCATTTTTTGCTGCTGCCATCGTTCTAGCTCTGCTACACGGACAAGCGACAGTTGAAAACAGTAAGCCTGGGTGGTGGCATTTGTCGAAGGACCGCCCGACGAGTGAAGATCACGCCTTATTTATGGGACCGAGGAACACACGCACAAACACACAAATACACGTTTGGTGTCGCATTTAACGTCACAATAGGCGACTCGACTTCGAACAGTGCTTGACAATTGTTCATGTCTCCTGCGTCCTCCTAACCTCAATTTGGCGGGAATATAACTGTCAACACAAGAGCTATCATTACGATTTTCTAATCTAACTCGTAGTGCTATTAAATGGAGCCCTTTGGGATCTACTTCTAATCCCCACCTAAAGTCGTCGCTTCCAAGCACACCGGCGCGAGCACGGAAGTAAAGAAGTGTTCCAACCGCAAACTTAGACACTCTAGGAGCAAAAAATCATTTCCCCATTTGAAACATTGTTTTGTGGAATTTCGCGAGGGGTTGTCAAGTGCACTTTATAAAGCAATGATGCGTCTGCCAGAGAATCAGTCAACCCAGCTTCCTTCTGTACACATTTTCCCTTCCCTAAAAAGCCTAATGACGAAAAAGCTTAAGCCTCTGAAAAATGGAAAACGTCCAAGGTGTTGCTCTTATACTGTATCCTCTGCTCTCCTTTTCTTGGCGATCCAGAATCTTCGGGAAGTAATCATGCTCTTGTGGGGCTACAGCCACAGTGCTTCTCTCCTTCTCCTCTTCCTCCTCAATTAAGCCCTTCAAAACAATAAAAAGTAGTATGATTTGTAAAAGGGCAAAAATCCCAAAATCTTGCATAAATAATCAAGTGCCAATGAAATTGCCCATTTTCCCGGCCATAATGGGAGGTGTTGAGCCTACGGCCGGAGGAAAATCGTATCACACCGGGTCAATAATTTTACCCTTGAGCAGCAACTGAACCACCTTCAAGAAGGTGGATTCGACTCCTGTGCAGCAAAACATCACAACAATCGTTAGATGGATTTAAAGGCATATCTATGCCTTGAAAATGGTCTTTCTAACTGTCAAGTAGGAGTTTAAGGGTGCTTCCTTCCATACCATGCTATTTCAATGCGTTTTCGGTCGCGGTAAATCAAAAATTCGCTTTTATTTAGATTAGAGGCAAGAAAATATGAGTAGCAGTCCTCATTGTGCTCATTTCGGTATTTTAGTAGGTAACAAAATATCTTTCGGAGATATGAAGGGGAATTTAAAGGTCTAGTTTGCAAATATGATGCATTAACTGTTCCTGACATTGATAAGTTTGACAAGTCCAATTCGGATCGCCTTGCTCATTACAGTAAGCACAGACTAAATTTGCGATTGGTCTTTTGGCGATAACTGGGTGCTTTCAGGTTTACAAAATACTGTAAAACCAGTAAGGAAATAGTTACCAAGGCATATCATTTTAAAAACAGTGTGATAAACCTTTGTCTAAATTAGTAGTATCGTCCCCAAATATTGCTCCTGCGGTTGCACGGAATTGTGTCGGGTTTAGCCACAGCCTCCACTTCAGATCAGCAGCCGAAGTGAGCCGAATGCCGGTCGCCCAGCTGAAAGTCAAAACTCGGCTGCACCATGAAGTGCTACGACGTCGAAGAAGTACTGCTACAGGCTAGAATTGCTCATTTTAATAACTACTCTGGAGCCAAAACGTACTTATGTATTCCAAAATAACCAACTAATTTGCAAAGATTCGCTTTATTCTCCATTATAGATGAAGATCCATTTTAGGAGAGTGAATTCTTTGAAAATCACCGTCATAGATTCCACAATCATTCACAAATTTGAAATGAGCCTTTTGAATTTGTTTTTAGATAGCAGAGTCATGTGCACAACCAGTAATCAGTAGCAAAATTGCTTATTTCCTCAAAATAAGTTTGGTTTTTGTAAATAATTGTATTTTTTTTGGGATCCTAATCAACAACATTTTTGTTGCTAAAAAGTGCCATAGTAGTAGCATTTCAATCCTGCGAATTTAAGCCTTCTTAAGCATTGAACCAGAAGAATGCAAAAATGATGGGGAAGTACAATTACTAAGTTTTGTAAGAGTAACGCCCTTTTCATAAATTGTTTAGGCATTTAAGATTTACTTGCTAACAACATCAAATGGCATTCCTGCAAATACGTGACAGTAAATTGAACTGGACTGATGAATTCGCGTAGGCACAGCACTCAAAAACGAGATAACAACAGGCGGACACATCCCTCGGAGGAATGTTATTACGCCAGAAACTGTTATGCCATCCCAGTCCATCTACAGGGATCGTGGCCACACTTGCAATCTCGTGGACGAATGCGCTCTCGCGTGCGTGCGGAATGGGTTACCGAGTCGCCACGGACGCACGCACGCACGCACGTACGCACGCACGCACGCTAGCTCGCGCGTCCGCTAGCCAGCAGGCCAGGGCTCTCCCTTCTGCTGTGGAAGAGGACAATAGTAGGGAGACGAATTGAGGCGCAGGGCACGTTCACAAACACAACCACACACGTGCACAGGCGCTCATTGAAGGCAAAAAGGAAGTGGGGCTAGAGCAGGAAAAGGAGGAGTGTGCAGTAGTTGCGACAACTTTGAGCCACCAGCGTCCCTTACACGCTGGAGGGTGTTAATCCTGGTAAGTCCTCGGACGTGGCACCTCTACATGCTGGAGGTCCATTCAACTCCAGACTACGCAAACACTTTTCACGTTTCTGCGACTCGTAAGTACTTTTATACGTGAATTTTGGCTTTGACGGTAGTCCGATTAAGCATATCATGTATGAAGATGGCTTTTCTCCTGGGTGCTGCGATCGTGAGATGTGTGAATATAATATTGTGTAATGCATTTCGCCTTAGTATTGGAAGTTTTTTGCTTTTTTACTGCAAACACGCCACGAGTCGGACGTTAAGCCATAATTGCAATTCATACATATATGCTTTTGCATGTATTTCTGTCTACCGCTAATTGTGTCGCCGCTGGCACGGTTCAGGGCTTTTCACATTTGTTCCCGTAAATACACTGCATCCCAGCTATAATTTCTGTCGCAGGGATGTCTATACTAGACTGCTCACAAATTTATTTTGATTAAATCTACAGTTGATGCGTTGGATGTGAATCCACATTAGCATAAATTAGCAAGGAACGACGCTAAAGTCATTGCCAAATTAAGATATTTGCCTACTTTTGTAGACATTTTTGTCGAGTATTTATCCGTACATCGGTCACAAGCCGTGGTGCCTCAAGGGCCGGTCTACGCACTCACCTGAGTGTAATGTTGACCAAGGTTGGATTTCATCGATTCCATCTGTCCTTCACTCTTCCTTTTCTTCTCTACCATGTGTTTCTTATAATTCCAATGGCTGTCCCGAATAACATCTCTCAAGTGTATCTCTTTCTGCAAGAAGAGGAGATTCCTGTAGGCAAGGTGGTTCTAAGTGCCTCCCGCGCAATCTACCTCGCAAAAGTCTACGCCAAGCGAGGAGTTTACTCTGTGACAATAGAGGAGTCGCCCGATCCTTCACTAGAGTTTTATTACCCCGAATCCCTTTTCAACATGTCCGCGAAGAACAACTACTTCAGTATTAACACGCACACCGGAATGATAAAGACATCCAGACGCCTCGACTTTGACGACCCAGAGCTGGAAGCGGATGGATGTATACCGAATAAAGCGAATTCACTGATTAAAGTGTTTCAACGGAATAATCTCTTTTCCATAAAGACTGCCTCCTATTGTTGCTTTTCCCTCCAAATTGCAAGTGTACGGGAAGACGTCCTACAACTTTATATCTGCATTGGTGACGTCAACGACAATGCGCCAAAGTGGGATTTGAAGTCATTTGACAGGACGGATTTTGGGCACGTAAGTTAATCCATTTGCCTATTGGATGGTTGTTCTTGTTACAACTTGTGGATACGGTTGAGTGACAAACACTAAATGAATAGCCGCTTCCACTTGAACAATCCAAAACCTTTCGCTCGATCAGTCACAGTTGGCAAGAAAAGGAGTTCTTGAAGTTTAACAAGACATTAAAAGAACTTACCAAACAGAACCCATTTTTCAGTTATATTTAGTGAAATATAGGTAATAAGGTAAATCTACCTCTTTACCTAGCTTTAATCCCGTGTTCACCAGGCATGAATGATCTCTACGTCGACCTCGTTATTTCAAGAATCTAAAAAACACAAAGGGAACATTTTAGGCCTTTATTCCGACATAATCTCAACAAAACATTTTTTAAATAATTCAACAATATTTAGGCTGGGAATTTGTCCCGAGGTTTCAAAGGTCACAGAAATCTGGAGGTGACTTGAACCGATTAGGTGGCTGTTTTGAGGAGTGCCGCTTGTGCCCGACCGCAATTGATTGGGGAAGTTTTGGTCCCTATGGAAATGCTAAAGGTTTCATGAGTATCATAGCATAAGAAGTGTTGTTCAGGCGTTTGTGGATTCACTTTCGACTCTGTTACGTTGGATGTAAACGTTACCGGTCGCTTTCCAATTTACCATGCTCCCACAGAGCGTATTCGGCAGGCTTAAGAGGAAATTTTTAATTCCAAAATTAAATAAATAGGAGTTTCTATGGGTAGGTTTAGCAAAAAAATATTTCGAATTCGAGTCAACGAGAATGCTTTTGCAGCCAAGGTGTAATGCTCACGCAAAGTATGTTTTCTCAGCGTTTCTAACTTGAAATGAGTGGTGGGTCATTTGATGCCTGATTTCTATTAGAAACAGGAGTCTGATATTAAAGGTACACTCCAAATGCTGCAATTTGTTCGACCACCGAAAAGAATTAAAATGCTTACATACCGTTGTATTTCGGGTCTTAGAATCACCTTTGTCTAAACACTTTTTGTCCACTTGCAAGGAGCCCCACTAGACAACATGTACTGCTTTGGTAAGATAGAAGCGAACTACTTCAATTAACAGCTAAAGAGTAGCAGATGCTGCGCCTATTTCGGGCACAAATTAGCCAGAGACCAGGGAAGAACAAAAGATATTGTGGTCGGGATATTCAAGAGATATGTGCATGTTCCATGTGCAGCTTAATTTAGTAATCAGTCACTTGCGCTCGAGGAGGGCAGGCAGCAGCAGTCACGTCTGATCGCGGTAAACAAACAATTCTCTCCCTGCACCCTTCGAACATGATTTTTCTTGTGACTGATGTTTCCAAAGCGGTCCGTTAATAGCCGCGCTGTGCACCGCTTCTTGGCGGCGGCTCCGAGCTCCGGACGAAAGTGCACTATCCACCGAGTTATCAAAGCCAGAAGTTAACCATTTAAAAATCCTTAACTTAAGCACAAGTAAGGCCGAGACCCATTGTGGCTTAAACGTTTACCAAAATTACGAAATATTGTTATGCCTACTCACTTGTGACATTCTTTGTGTAGTAGTGGTTGAAGTACTTCTCTCTACCCTTCGTCGCCAATAAATGTTTGTTTCCCGCTATTTAACCGAACTAAAAACGCAATGTCTGTTATTTTAGGAAAAGTCAGAGCTTACTCTCAAAGTCCCGGAGAACTTGCAGCTAGGGAACGCAATCGACCTCCCCCCAGCTACTGACCTTGACTCGGGGTCAAATAAAGCCATATCTTATGAAATGTGGCCAGGACTGCCAGAATTCGAGATGGCTTGGAATGCCACTACATCCAAGCTCTATCTCGTGCTCAATCAAGAACTTGACCGGGAAGTAGAACCCACCTACAAATTCAGCCTCATTGCAAGAGATGGAGGAGTCGAGCCCAACACCGCCTCCCTCAGTGTCACAATTAACGTCCAAGATGTGAACGACAACGATCCACTGTTTGAGAAATCTGTATACTTCGTTACTATTCCAGAGAACACGAAGATCTCGTCTCAAATCATTCAGGTAATCATTATTTTCCTGGGGCAAAAATTCTGACATTTTTTTGGTTTTGCGTTGTATTTTGACACATCTAAGGACCATCAAGGCTTAACACGAACTGGGAAGAGGTGCCCAATTTTGTTCCAAGGTTTTAAGCGGAGGAAATAAAGATGCTGTCGCGTTAAGATTTTTGAGTTTATAAAACGATTGTTTAAAATCCCGAAGTCGGATGATTCAGGGCGATGGGCACTTCTTTACCCATCGAAATGCCATCCCATGTACATGTTTTGTGTCTTTGACAACCACACAGGCAAATTTGACATTTGAAAGTGACACGGGTAAATGATATTAGGGCATTCAGTTTCGGAAGAAATTACGAACGCCGTTGACGCATTCATTCAAGACTCCTTTTATGTTCGAATAGAAGCCAGTTTGTTCTACTTATGCTGCGATTTCCTTGTACACGGAGAATCTGAACATGTCTCACCGGATTAGTGATTAATTTCGCATCGCCGCCTATTTTTTTGCCTAAATTACACGTACCAAATTCATTCTCTTGCAGTTTTGTCAGCTGGTATTGCGAACATGGTGTACGGGATAAATCAAAGTAATGCAGATGCTTTCGCGAATCGCATAACTACTGCGACGGTACCTCCAGCACTGGGCCATTGTACCCCAAGTACGCGCAAAAAATGGTCCTCTGCCTTGGTACCGCACTTTTGTCGTGATCTCACAAGGCAGCTGCGCGAAAGCCACCACAGATTAATAGTTGCCTGATTCGTATTCAAGGCGACTACAGATAAACTTTTCATAAAGAATTATGGGGAGTCTTTGTCATTCCTTATTTCTTCGCACTGATTTGAAAACCCCAGTTGGGTAGTCGTTAAAAAAAATGGAAGCGTACACTGATAAAGGAAGTAATTATTTTCTTCCTAAAAGTAAGTACAGGTGTCGACAACATCACAGCACTAATCAAAGTGCATTTGGGCACAGGTTCAGAGAGCAAGTGCTTTGCATGACTATTTAATGAATCAGCTGCAACTTTTCTGCGAAAACTTGACGTCCTGACTTTATTGCCTGAGCGCGGCATTTCAAATGTGTGACATGCCCTTCATCAGTTCGTGATAACTGGTTGCACCGAATAGCCCCTTTCAAGCAGAGTGGCACAGCTTAAAAAATAAACGAGATACAGGGTTCTATCTTTTGGCCTAGAAACATCTATAGTGCTGAGTTTTTGATCAGCAATTATGTGGCTTGGTTTGGCAGCGCAATCATTGCCTCACATCTGGGCTTTGGTGTTCGAAATTTTTTTTATGACAGCCTCACTTTGGAAAAAGACCGCCAAAAGATGAGAGGATTGCAGATAATACCTTAGCACAAAATCACTCCTTAGCATCGGTACACATTAGCAAGCGACTGTTTTGGAAGCAGTTTAGCAATCGGAGTAATTACCCTTGAAAGGCGATGAAAGATGGAACATATTCGCTTTTACTACCACTTTCAAGGGAATACTGGTTGTATTCAGAGCTATTTGTAACCTTACTATCCATTAGCCTCGTCTAACTTGCCCGCCAATTAATGCTACTTAACCGTTTCGCCTGGTGCATTCAACTGCCTGCAATGATACTCCGATCTTCATTTGGACCGTATTTTTTTCATCCAATGACTCTAAAATGCCAAATTCCTACAAAGACAAGTGAAATTTGTGGACGATAACCTCAAAGTATGTCGTGGACCTAACTGAAGGTTTGCTGGAAATGAATTGCCGTTGAATGTATTTATTTTTGGCGACAGAAGGAAGAGGGGAGATGATTGTAGGTCCTACTTTTGTGCTAAAATATATCCTGTAAATAGGTATAAGATATTATCTTACTGGTGGATCTAGGTGTTGTTCTTCGGAGAAAGCGTCCTCCACCATCTCTCTTCTTTGTGACAAGCATTCTTTTACTAGGACTAGAGTTTAGTCGCACACAGACGTTGGCATTTAACTTTTAAAGTTGATTCAGTGATAGCTCTGGGTTTGCTAGTGTAGAACCATTTTGAGAGCAACAAAACTCATGGTTTTGGGTCGCAAGACGGCAAAAACTCTTGACTTAAGTATTTGTAGATTTCAAGGCATCTTTAAGCTATGGAAAGTGAAGAGAGAGGCAACTACTAAACAGTTCTGCAAGTTTTCAGTTCTCGCTCAAAAAACCGACAAATAGGAAAAAATTTGCAAAATACTTCATTTTATCCCATTTTGTTTATTATTTTACTCATTTACCCGTAGTATTTACTATATTTACATTGAAGAAAAGAGAGCGTTCACGGCCCATGCATTGCCCAAAGACTAGTTGGGGTGGTTAAGATATATGTTAAGGAAGGCTTTCTTAAAAGCGTGAGTGCTAAAATTATTCAGTCCTGGGTCAGTTCCAGAGGTGAAATCCTAAATAAGGGTCTCGTGGGCAGAACTTTCCAACACTGTTTGTGGAAAGGCCCTCCACATGTCAGTGGGGTAGAGCGTGGGAGACAACAAAACAATTCTCTCCACAGAGTGGGAAACTTGTAGAGAGCATCATTACACGGCAAATTTGACTAAGAGGTTTTGTTCTCGTATCTCTGACATTGCGTCTGAAATAACTTTTTCAAATTTTCCACCTTAGTGATTGTGACAATAATCGGATAAAGATTGAGAATAAAAGCGCCAAAAATAAGCCAGCATTTAAGGCACATGTTAAACTAAAAACAACTTGGGTAAAGCACAAACGGAAGCACTTTCCACAGACCACCGGGAGTGTTATCATTATGACAATCTCAAGACGAGCATGATTGAGAAGTAGAAGAACTCAAATTTGATGGAAACCCTTCCCAAGTGAGGCATCCTCCCTCAGGTGAAAGCGGTTGACTTGGATTTTGGCAACAATGCGGAAGTGACCTACTCGATTAGCACCTTAACGGATCCCGAGTTCGGCCAGATGTTCACCGTCGATCCGACCACCGGATGGGTCAAACTGGCACAGGAACTGGACTTTGAAACTCACAAACAAGTAAGCAGAATGTCATTTTTGTCCACTTCTGTTCATTTTTTATTTATAATCACTTAAAGAGGTAAGCCTTTGTCTCTAAATGTCACGACACGTTTGGTTTAAAGTTGGGTGGTCAAATGAATGATGGGGAGAAAAAGAGGGATTGTTAGCAAAAACAACTCCACAACTTCCTGTGCTGCGAACTCAAATGTGTTCTCCACTGCATTAAGGTGGGATTTAATTAACCATACAAGTCGACAGCAAAGCACTTAGAGGAGCCTGATATGACATAAGTTAATTTTTAAACGCCAACACTAAACCTGTCAACTCCCTTCCTAATGAAGAGACAAACGACTCCATGGTTACCTAAATGTTTAACAAACGGAGAGACATATTTTGCTATGAAGAAACGCACGCTTCAGCCTCCATGCTCTGAACATAGTTACATAGAAAAGTCGACCGAGAACCCTGCAACCACCCTTTAAACATCTAACTGCACTTGGCAACTCTACCGAGTTGGTTACTTCGCCCGGTGCTTTAGGTATCCACTTAAAGATTTTGCAAGAGTTTAAAAGCTGCATAAATGAAGATAATTACATCAGGGGATTGGAAGTGCCATACTGGTCCTTCCTCTACTCCAGGCAAGAGGATACTTCCATGGCGACCAAGCGCAATGCATGAGGGTCCAACGAAAATCTTTTTTTCGCCTGTTATGCAGCATGTGAATTCGCCTTAATTCCAACCCTGGCACCTGTTGGGGCAGATGCCTTCTGCACATCAAGGCCAGGCCCAAACTATGCACCACAGTCTCATAATTTAACGTGCCTTACAGCAGCTGTTTAATGCCCTTCCCCATAACCCGAATTGCCTCTTCTACTGCCAATACCACAAGCGGAAGCAGATAGGGAAAGGTCAATTACCTTCCTCCCTATCACGTTGAAACATGGTTTAACACACTCGGTCTAAAATGCAACTGCCTTTTTTACTCCGGAAAGGCGACAAAGAGTTAGAAGTCAATTAGCATTCATGCGTGGGTTACTTGGGTAAAAT